GCTTTGCATGTTTAGCTAGATATGATAATCCCATTTGTTGATAATACTTACAGCTTTAAAGCACCAAGCTAATAAATGTTGCATTTAATCCCACACACATCCCTCTAAACAGTTTCATACAGCTTTGTGTGGTTTTACATCCAGTTTTTTTGTGTCAAAAGTGATGCCTACAGGAGGACAATGAATCATTGATGTGTACAGCTGGATGGAATATCTTGAGTGGAAATATGCACTGCACAGAGTCTCAGTGAGGGATACAGGTGGGAAAATAAACTTTCCAAGTAAGTAATCTGCTTTATGTAGTTGGAAGAGCAAATGGATTTTACAGATCAATTCAGTTCAAATACAGTGACATTTATGACTCCCTAGAACAAAAGCTTTGGCAGCTATTTTTATCTCTCCCTGATGTCATTCTTGTAAGAACTGCATGTTAGGTATCATAGAAACATCTATTATTTATGTTATTACTTGTATATATGAGTCATGTATTTATAATTTTTTAATTGTTATGTAAGCTGTAGAAGAAAAAAAAAACAGTAATTCAGAGCAATTCAGAGCATTTGTTTCCCTTGGGGTAAAGAATCTCCCTCAACCCATTCTCTCTCTTTCTGTCTCTCTCTCTCTCTTACACACACCACAGCTCACCACACACACACACACGGGTCTATGGGTCACGGAGCAGTTAGACAGCTGAGCCATTTATCTGGGTCCTTGGGGAAACAATTACACCCCACCAGGCAGAAGAGCCGGACAGAGGCTGGGAATTAATGATGGGCTTATGACTCAAGTTGAAGCAAAAACTTACAGTGATAGTGGATAATATGACTGACTCCCTCCCCCGCTGGTCGTTGACACCATGGTAAATGAGATTACTAGCCCCCAGAATCACTTAAATTGAGCTCTCTTGCAAAACAATACACATGGTATTCCACTACTAGATATATTCAAACACCACAGCAACATTATACACTCTATATTACATTATAAAGGACTATTGGACACCTTATGGTGGACAAAAACTCAATAAGACACAACAAATCCCCATAGGAATGTCATGAAAAATGTTATAGTGATACCATGCAGTCGGAATTAAAGGTGAGTACTGTACTTAAACCTGCATTATGATTTTTCAGCCACTTGCGTGCAGCACAGCAACCTGTAAATGTAACTAATGTAATTAATATCAACTTATAAGGTTGATATTGCTAATTTGTTAGCAGAAAGTTGTCTGTTTATCTATCTAGTGATATGGAGCAACATAAGCATTCATTTTGAATGTGTTTTTTTTTGTTTTGGCCACTGTCCTCTTCTTTAGCTACATCATAAAATGCTACTTACATGTTAAACTTCATCGTCAATAATAATGATATTCCACCACTGGTTGGAAATATTAATACCCCTAAATAATGTTACCACAAACTCACTACTGTTGTAATATTGAAGGAAAGTTGTTATCATGTAGTAGATGGTCAGTAATGTTACTATAGATTAATTTAATAACTACAAATGACTACACCACAGGTCCCTTTAAGGTAGTAAAACACTATAATTGCAGTGATTACTTTGTTTGGTACTATTTAGGTCTTTATCCCCCCCTGCAGACATGAAACACAATAATAACAATGGAAATGGCTCTTATGTATGTTTTGTTTCATTATTTATTACAAGATACTGCATTTGGAGATGTTGAGTCTTAACAGCCCAAGTCACATTCACATGTACAGATAGTTGCAGTGTCCTCTAGTGACCTTAAGAGCCACATCAGCACAGACTTTGAAAGGATGCCTATAAGAGAGAATCCCCATTATATGTGGATAGGGTGGATTAGCCATTAGGATGTTATTTATACATAATGTTTTCCATTTCATAATAATGAAGATATTTGATGTATCCTATAACACATAGAACGGCACAGCCAAAACATCATCAGTTATTTTAATGTCTAGTTTTCCTTCACTGTGCCCATTGTTAAAATTTCCGAGCAAACACACACACACACACCATGTTCTCTCGCTGTGAAAAAGCAGACCTCTTCCAGCTTTCCCCCTCATGCTTCAGCGTTAGAAGCTGCCACATCCCAGCCCCCACCTCCCCACAACCCCTCTAGCTGCCTCCTCCTCTTTCGACTCTCTCCCTCCCACCCACCCACCCACCTCCCTCCCTCCCTCCCTCTCGTGGCCCGTTGCCATGGAAGCTGATTGGAAGGATCACTCTGCCTCTCCAGCACATTGCCACTCCATCTTTGCCAGGAGAAAACAAGGCGATTCAGAGCACTGCTCAAACCCCAAAAAATGTCCTTCTCGAACAGCAAGTGGAGGTCAGGTATTAGTTTGCGACAGTAATAATAAACTACAAATAAAAAATACCTGTTCCATCGTATTGTTTGCTTTCTTTTTACAAATGCTGCAACTTTTCATTTTACTCCTTAAATGCTCGACCAAGAGCAAATTGGAATCTGTGGCTTTTCTGCAGTGATGTGAGAATATTTATTCACAACAAATATTTGATTTATGTTGTGATGTGTAGTTTGCCCTTATGTTCAAGGACATTTTACTCCACGCACTGGTGGTTTCATCCAACAGCAAACAGCACCCTGACAGAACACAAGCATCAGAATTTTTTTAATTAATAAATTAATTTTAAACTAATAAATGAAAGCTCTTCACTGCCCAGAGAGAAAGAATAATCAGCTGTTGAGGATCTTAATACAGTACAATTATTTTTCACACGACAATAACTAGGTTGATTTTGAATATTTTCTTAAATAGTATGATTGCACCAAATACAATTAAAATAAATAATTAAATTTAGAGTAGGTCACAAAGCTGTAAAACAAATTATGGAAAGCAGGTGATTCTTGTGAGTCCATATTGTTTTCCACATCCTCTGTGCTGCATTGGAAAAATAAAAAATAAAATGTCCAACAGACAGATGAAGCCAATTCACTTTAATACACTCTCTCTGTATGCGTGTACAGTACATACAAACTCAAGGTTATGGCTCTCAATAGCTTTATTTCTGATATTTTTCAACCAAGCAAAACTATAAAGGGGAAGACAGAAAATTCAGGCTCTAGCATTGCTATAGCAACAATGTTTAGGGGCTCGTGGGTGGGGGTTGGTTGCTTAATCACATATTTTTAAGGTTTTCTTTTTTGGTCGTTCCGCGTTTTAGGATGGTGACAGTAGGGAGACACAGGAATGGCAGGGCAGACTAAAACCCAGGCCGTAAGGACTCAACCATGGCACGTAGTGCGTTCTACCAGGTGAGCTAGCAGGGCACCCTAATCACATCGTTTTGAAAGAAATAATAATTAATTTCTATAGCACTTTATGTTATACAATTATAAGTAACCGTTTTCATATGCAACAGGGCTTATTTTTACTTCTGAATACATTCATCTATGTAAAACATTCTTTCAGCTAGGTCCTTTTCATGGAAGATGTTTCGACATGGCACAGGTGCAAATAATAAAATGAATCATGGCTGAATTCCATTTAGCTGCTTCCTTTGTGTGTGATCTCACCATCAAACTGTCATGGCTTACTGGGACACTTGGACAGAACAGAGTCATTATTAATAAAGTAAAGGAAACCTTGTGTGTTTCCTACTATGATAAGTCAAAATGTCTGCTGTGAAAAAGGTCTAATGATTTATGTTGGAACAAATTTACTCAGGGCCATAGCCACAGTACAGAAACTAAGCAACTTTTTTTTTAAATACTCACAAACTTTTGCAGAATTTGGTTGGTGGCTCATCAAAACTTTCTGATCTGTAAAGGGATCATGACCTTAGAAAAATCCTGGCACTGAATCTTCTTCATTCAGTTATATTTTGAGTTTTATTTTTATTGCACGTGTGCAGCTTTGAGCTGCATATAAACAGTGGCAGTGAGTCATCATGCACGGGCAACAACAAAAACAGCCTTTTCTTATTTTAGTCAATTGCATGTCTCATGCTGCCTCAAAACTGTTGACTGAGAGATTTAAGCTGAAAACCGATGAAATTAGCATCACCCACTTGGGGCACGTGATCAGCTGAAGTGGCTGTGGCTGCAATATTGTGTTGATTGTGACAGTTTGGAACATGGTGTGACTCCTGCGGCCGCACAGCTGGTCCACTCCTGTGTTTTTTACATATGCATGTAAGCCTGCCAGGTTTGTCCCTACAGGAATATGATCAGAATGTGAATTTTCACACACCTCACAATGGCTTCAATTGCTATTTAACAAACGTTGAGTCCTTGTGTGAAGCAGCAGACACAGGCAGGCACAGACATTTTGGAAAAGTGAAAATGTTTTAGTTGTTAGGGCCATATCAGTCAGTCCACCATTTTCAAGTCCACTAGACTGATGAGATGTTTCAACAGCCACATTATTGGATGGATTGCCATGGTATTTGGTAAAAACATTCATGTTCCACTTGGAATATCTTTACTAATACTTTTAATTGAGCCACCACCAGGTCAAGATTAAAATTTGTCCAGTAGTAATACAAACTAACAACACATTTTCAACACATCAACCTCAGAAATTTGCACTTACTGCACTCAGCCAACTAGACTGCTATAGCACGAGCGCTATATCAATTGAAAGCTTACCCTTAGTTGACCCCAGCTAAAACTAAACGTCATTTATGTCATTGTCATTTATAAATAACCATTTTCATGAACTGACATCTCAGCAAGTTATTCCAATGCACTAACTGCCATCTCAGCTTTTGACTCTTCAGTGAGGTTAAGATACGTTTAAGTCATATTTCGTCGTTACTTTATGTGTAATACATTGTAAACCTTTTTTAAACAATGATTTTAATATAAACATTTTGGTGTCACTTGTAGTATATCTTAACAGACAGGTTCATTCCTATGTTCCCAGGGTCCAGTCTTACTTATTTATAGTGTTAGATTATAGATATGCTGCCCAGAAAGCAAAGATACATTTGATCCCTGTGATCTGGGTTGTAAATGATCAAAGTAAAGTTTGTTTTCTTATTTTGTTGTTTTTTATTTCCTACCTGAATGTCAGTGACCCTTACCCCTACATTCAGAATATTTTCCTGTATAAAAGCACAATGAAAATTACAGTCATTGTCTCTGTTTCCTCTGATCTATTTGTCTCGGTTATCAATTTAAAATTCCAATAAGCTTTATGGAAACAAAGAGACGGAACACCACAAAGCAAAACAGACATTACACTTGCATTATAAATACTATGCAAAGTATGTGAGGTATAAAACATTGTAGGGACTGACAAAAAAATCATCTGTGATGTGAGTTTGAAAAGGTGAAGAAACTCATTGTTTTCTGTTGTAATTGTGGAAAAATATTGCTTATATATTTCTGTCAATTATTTTCCCAAAGACTGTGGAAAAGAGGTATTTCGTAGCAGAATCTACACTTTCCACACCCACCCCATTACATCCACCACCACATCTACTACCCCCCATTTCTCTCTGTGATCTCGAAGGGCTTGCTTTACCTCAGTCAAGCTCCAGCGCTCCAGCCGGCAGCAGCATCGCGCTAACAAGTCTTTGTGAGGAGAGAGAGAGAGAGAGAGACAGAGAGAGAGAGAAAGAGAGAGAGAGACAGAAAGGAAGCAGAGCAGGAGAGAATCAGAATCAGAGAGTGAGAGAGCTGACAGTATGAGCATAGGATGAGGCTGCAAAGAGACAACGCATAGGATAGTGACAGAGGCAGAAGTGTTCAGTGCTGCACATTAGTGCCAGAGGCAGCTGGAAAGAGAGAGAGAGAAAGCAGGCATCATGGCAGCGCTCACTGCATCATCACGACACATGGGGATGTTTGGCTGCTGCTGGTGAACACCGTGTGATGCAGAGGAGAGAGTCGAGGACTTCCTGGAAACCAAAGGCAAGCCAAGGAAACAGGTCAGCGACGGTCAAACTGACTCACAGAAAGCCTTTATGCATGCAGCAACATGAGTACCACGAGATTTAATCATGTCGCAGGATGATGATGATGATGATAATTCCCATGTTATAGTTTGGGATGTGGATGTGCATGGGGAGAGGTTGCGCATGCAGACAAGTGAGCAGGCTTGTAGATGTGTGTGTGTGTGTGTGTGTGTGTGCAGGTTTGGGACTCTAAATGGCACCGGTTAACAGAGCTTGACCGGGAATGTTTAGGTTAAAGAGGCATGGGCAGGCAGCACAAGGAACCCTCCTGGATCCAAGAAAAACTGCAACATCTTCTATGACATCAAGCACATAGACAGATGTTAGGTAGTATGATGTGTTCAGTGTCTTCTGTACTACACATCTATCTGGTTCAGAAAAGCAGAGAGCTGGAGTATAGGACTGAATACAAGTAAGGGTGGAGAAAGGAAAATAAGAAAAAATAATGAAATAAGATGTAGGAATTTTTTTTAAAAGCGATGGCAATGAACACAAGGCAGCAGAAGACATGGCACAAGAATAATTGTATTGCAGTAGGTAGTAAGAGAAAGGAGACAAAGCCTGTGAGAGAGGAAAAGCTTGGTCCAGCATTCAGCTCTGCTGCATATGATGTAATCCTCCACCAGTCCAAGCAGTCAGGTCAACAGTTTTTACAAATTTGAAATTTAAGTATGAACAAAGTGCAGAGGGCTGGCAGAGATGCACTTCCCGTTATCAGCAGTGCTTTTTAAGTGTGGGATAAAACTTGCCTTGTGTGCAAATAATCTCCTATAGGAAATGTTACAACACTTTATCTACAAAAGCAACCAGTAAGATAACAAAATAGTTAATCAAAATCTTAATCAGCACAACACTTCATTTGACATGAGTCATTCTCTACTCCAAGGTCACCTATCATCACAAAATGGTGTGGTGCCAAGTTTTGCATAAAAACATCCTTACTTGACCCAGATTGTTTTAGAATAAGACCTGTTTCTGAGCTGTTTACTGAGCTCAATTGATTAGTAGTTTTGCACGTTTGACATTCTTTACATAACAGTACAAATACAGTTTTCCAAAAACATAAAATCTAAAGATTTATACTGACTTGGGAGTTTTACTTAATCAGTTATTAAGATGTAGAAGAGCTACAGGAAAACAGTTGTGTTTAAATATAATTTCATTAAAGTAAGCTTTTATTCATCTTTGAAGAATTAGTTTAAAAAAGAAAGACACTAAAATTGATTCTCAAATCTATTCTTATTATTCTGGCTTATATAAATTTGCGAATCAGCCATAAACTGTACCTTTGCCATTATGCAGGTGTGAAAAGGGGCCACACGATGAGTGGGATCCTGAAGAGGAAGCTTGAGGAGGGCCCGTCCCCTTACCTGTCCATGCAGGGATCTGATGATGATGTTTCCTGCAGCGACAGCGGCAACAGCAGTGATAGTCTCAACCATCCCGTACCCGCTGGACTGCTTGACTGTAAGATCACATTACCACACCACTACTGTCAGCAGCTCCCTGCTAGTATGTTTTGATACAACGGGAAGCGCTGGAAACACTCGAGGTCACATGTAAACGGCATCTATATAGTGTCATTTTAACCAGGCCATTGAGATGGAAAAACTATTCAACAGTGGGCAGAATGTTTCTCAGGAAACAAAAACATGATTACTATAGGGATAATTTGGGGATTTTATGTATATCTTTTTGCACTTGACAATATGCACCAACAATATGGTATTTTGCATGTAATAAATCTTACTTCACTTATGCTTGTCCTTTGACAAAGTGTTATTAAACACAATTTTATTAGAACAACAGAAAAACTGTGTGGGCACTAAGGACATGGATCTCAACTGGTATTGTTCCTTACCAATAGAAGCTCCTCTGTCGTCGTGAGAGGGCCTCTCCCACACCTCCCACTGAGGATCTGTTTTGTGACCACTTTTGTTGTCTACATACAATATATGTTGCCATTGAGTCACAAATTACAGAGATTTAACATTAAATTCCAGCTCTATGCTGATGACACACAGCTGTATTTCACCCAAAGACCCTGTGACAGTGCCAATGTAACTCAGTTCTTGTCATGTCTGTCAGAATTTATAAGCTGACGGGGACTCCTGGCTATTTCCAGTAAATACTTTACTTCCAGGGGTGACTGGTCAGTCAAGCCAAATTAATAGCATCTTATAAAACACTTCTTAAAACTTACTTTTACAGAAAGGCGTTTTTCTGATTTTTCAATGCCATTTCATGTCTGTTGTACTGTCTGTTGTTTATATTTATCTTATTTTTCTTATAATATCTATTATGTTGATTTCATTAATATCTTCTGCTTTGTTTCTCTATTTTGATTTGTTGTTTTTAATATAAAGCATTTTTTAACGTGTTTAGAAAAGTGCCATATAGTGTAAAGTTTATTTTTATCATACCACGCCCATTAAAGAGAACGTGAAAGGATTTTTGAAAGAATTATTCCTTATTTGTGCTACAGTTACACTATGTTTTAACATTTACCATTATCCTGAAATTTTACTAATGACTGCTTTTTGAAGTTATAATTTTCCTTTATCTAGCTTTTAGCACTAACCAAGGTGCATACTGTCTTTCACTAAATATGTTTCCCACTTCCATGTCTCAATCTCAGCCACTCTCCAGCAGCAGTCAAAGCGACTGCGGGGTCGAAACGTGCACTTTGAGAGCGTGACAGTCTACTACTTCAGCCGTCGGCAGGGCTTCACCAGTGTGCCCACGCAGGGTGGCAGCACCCTTGGGATGTCACCACGTCACAGCGGGGTGAAGCGCTTCACTCTCAGGGAGTTTGCCATGGAGCAGAAACGAAGTCACCGGAACATGCTGAGAGACCATCTCAAAGAGGAGAAACTCAATGCCATCAAACTCAAAGTCAGTGGATTCAAGAAAGCCTCATTTACCTGCATTGTAGTAGAATCTTTGCTCCATAAGTCCGTTTTTTAACTATGATTCTTCTTCCTTAAAGGATTGTTTGTTTTCGAATATTAAAATTGTCTTTGCTCATATGTTTTTCAATAAGTCAGGGCATTAATAATAAACATTGTTGATGTTTTGTAACCAATCTTCAGCTGACAGCTCACATATAACTTTCCTGGGGGTCTAAATGTATGTGTAGGCGTAAGCCTACATTTATGTTGCAATCTTAATTCAACTTTCTTTGTCTGTCCTCCAGCTAACTAAGAATGGCACTGTGTCATCCGTGGAGGCGGATACCCTGACGCTTGATGATATCTCCGAAGATGACCTGGATGTGGACAACACGGAGGTGGACGATTACTTCTTCCTCCAGCCTCTGACTACCAGGCGGCGCCGGGCCCTTCTCCGCGCCTCTGGCGTCCGACGCATTGACGTGGAGGAGAAGCACGAGCTGCGTGCCCTGCGCATGTCCCGTGAGGAGTGCGGGTGTCGCTGCAGGGGTATATGTGACCCGGAGACCTGTGCTTGCAGCCTGGCCGGCATTAAGTGCCAGGTAAATGGAACTGTGGTGAGGCCCATCTATAATACTAAAGTGTTGTTCATGTCTGTCTGTGCGGTAGAACTTATCTAAACAGCATGCATGATTTTGACATGCGCCACTCAGTAGTACATCACAGTTGTTGACAGTAGGAATATGCACAACAACACTGTTCATTTTACCACAGTACTGTTACTGCTGTCACTATGGTTGTAAAGGACCTTGTATCTGCTTTAGATTTTTTTAAAAAGCACTGTGCTGCACTTTAATTTTATCTTTTCAAAGCATTTGATATTGTAGACCATTATCTCTTCTTGCAGAGGCTACATAATATTGGATTTGAAATGAATGCATGTAATCGGTTCAGAAACTCAGAGAGACAACAATCTGTTAAATTTGGAGTTTTTATCAGTAACAAAAGGTGTTCCACAGGGTTAAATTTGTGGTCCAGTTTGTTTCAGTATTTATATTAACAATACTGTTTCATCTTTGGCAAACTGCCACATTCATCTGTATGCTGATGACATAGTACTGTATTATGTTGCTGATTCTGTACATAACAGCTGAAGATTTATGATTTAAGATGCTCTTAAAGGCCTGAGACTTAAAAACTAAATGCTGATAAAACAAAGTTCATGCTATTTTCCAGAGCCAGAGCAATTACCTATAATATTTTTAATATGCTAATACAATAAACAGATTTTAAGAGACTGACAGAATATGTGTTTCTCTGCGCCTGGATGGATGAAAAACTCACATTCAAATTTCAGATGTATAATCTTGTGTGCTGACTCAGGCAAGAGGTTGGCTATTTTTACAGGAATCATCATTCTCACTTTTTGTCAGTCCTGGACTATGGTGATATGATTTAGAGGCATGTATTCTCATCAACTCTTAAACATCTGGACTCTGCCACTGCCACTCTGCCTTGAGATCTATTACCAGTGACGCCAATGGTACACATCATTGTATTTACTATAATTGGGCTGGGTGGTCTTATGTTCAAGAGAGATGTGATACTTGCTGGTTTCTTTTTATACATAATGCCCCAACTGGAAAATTACCAAATTACCTCTCAGAATTGCTTGCTCACATGGGCTTTATCCGACTCACTCTACTGATTGGCTCAATATAGTGCACCTGATTCCTTGCAAAATACAGCACCTTCTTAAAATAAATACACTTGTACCTTTTGGACATTGTAGAAACTTGATCTTAAACCTCCAAACCTCTTCTTGTAATTGTTTTGCATAACTATTTATTGCACATTTTCTTTACATCTTCACCAGTTAGAAAGTTTTAATGACTTTCTCTTAGCTAATTGTGCTATTGCTTTTCTCTGTTATTATATTTCTTTGCTGTTGTTTTCTTCTTTTCTCTGTTTTGGTAATTGACTCAATGTTGTTGTAAATAAGGCTCGCCGCTCATTGATCTTTTGAGTATAAATAAAGGTTGAATAAATGAATGAATGAATTTCCTTAATCAAAAAGTGAAGGGTATTCAAATTTAAGTTTTACTTTTAAGAATACTGCAAGTAGTGCCGTCTACCATTTTCCAGTGGCCAAGGTTTGGGAAGTATTAAATACATACAATGCCCACAGTGGATTTAAATATTTGTTTTGTCCATAGGTGGACCGCATGTCTTTCCCCTGTGGCTGCGCTAAAGAGGGCTGCAGCAACACCACAGGACGCCTGGAGTTCAACCCGGTCCGGGTGCGCACCCACTTCCTGCACACTATCATGAAGCTGGAGCTGGAGAAGAGCCGCGAGGAGCAGCAGCAGCAGCATCATCATCAGCAGCAGCAGCAGCAGCCGGAGCAGCAGCTTGTAACCAATGGCAACGGTTACCATGGCGACTCCTCCTTGGTCCAGCAGCAGCAGCAGCAGCAGCAGCCGAACCTGCAGTTTCCACTGATGAGTGGCACACCGCACATTCCCATCATGCACCTCCAGAGCACAGGCAACTCGGATTCACATCTAAATGAAATGGAGGAAGAGGAAGAAGAGGAAGAAGAGGAAGAGGAGGAGGAGGAGGAGGAAGAAGAAGAAGAAGAAGAAGAAGAAGATGAAGAAGATGAGGATGATGAAGCTTATGAAGAAGATGAGGATGGCAGCAGCGTTTGCAGCGGGCTGTCAGACTGCAGCACACATAGCTTAGAAACAATCGATCCGGAGGAAGAAGAAGAGGACGAGGAAGATGAAGAAGACGATGATGATGAGGAAGAAGAAGAGGAAGAGGAGGAAGATTGGGATTGCTCGTTGCACGGAACGAGTCCTCCGCCCTACTCGGTTCCACTTCCTTCTGTGCTGAGTTACTCTAATAACACACTCATGAGCCTCAGTAACCCCTTCCACAACACTCCCTCCATGCAGCATTATCAAATAGACCGCTCTGTAAATGACACTCCTGCTTTTCTCAGTGAAAATGGCACCGTCGCCCCCACGCTCCCCACAGTAGAGACCGCAATAGAGTCTGAAATAAACACAAAACTCCACTGCCAAACAGAGCAGCAGAGCATTCCCAGCCATTTCCCTCACCCCGCAGAGTCCCTGACTCTCCAAACTTACTCACATGTAGACACCCGTGAGAGTAACAGTGCCCCTGCTGGTGCAGCTGATGAACAGCCGCCCTCGACGGAACTCCAGAACAATCCAGACCATCATGACTCACAGACTGAGGCTTCGGCTGGGTCTGTGAGTGAGCAGACAGGGGAGACAAAAAGGGAGCTGATACAGGAGCAACCAGGACTGCATATGCAGCGAGACACCGATAAAATAACAAGCACGTCATGCTCAGAGAGTACCTGATGAATCAAATGCTTTAGAGAGGGATCAATTAATATTTGGAAATCTTTATTCAAGAATTGTGACCTTCAACTATTAGAGTTTGATTTATTCTTGATAAGTGCACTTCCAAAGAAAGAAGAAGTCCCATAGATTTTGACAGAAGGCTCAAAGAGCTGATATAATTTTAGCATAATTTGTCTCTAAACCTTTCCAAGATTGTTGGTTTAGATTAAAAGACTCAAATGATACAGCTCAATAAAACAGTGTTTCTGTACGTTACTTGTATAATTTATGCCCTGTTAGAAAGTCTTTGATCATTACAGCATGTTTTGTGGTGTGACTGGCATCTATGACAAATCAAGATTTTGAGGTGCTTGTATTGTGTCACTATTTTCCATTGTGCTGGTGTCTCATCGTTGCTGCTAATTATTCTTGAATGCCTGTCTGTAAAGCATGTGTTCAGTTTACCTATGATGTTTCTAGGCTTAATACAAACTGTAAAATCATTTAAAAAAACTTATAAATCCATTATAATTAATAATAAAGGTGTTTTTTGTTCCTTTTTGTGCTAAAATGTTAGCATCACTAGCATGGTGGCTAGGCCTCTGGTCTAGGCAACAACTATTTGATGATTTGCCATTAAATTTTGTACAGACAAGCATCTCAGTATTCTTATATTAACAATGGATCACCTGACTACATGTATGTGAAAAGAGTAGTAGTGATGAACCCATAAAGGATTATCACCCATCTCTGCAGTTCTCCTCAGCTGCACGGGTTTTAGCTTCTTTTACCTTGTTTTGGTACAAAATGTAAAGTAAAGGTGAATCATTTGATTCACCTTTACTGCTCTCATAGCTTAGTTTTCTCATGGTAGTAGGGAGTTGTTTTCTCAGCTGTAGATTAGCTGACAGAAAGTTGGAGACTGCTGGTGAACATAATGGAGTATTTAGCAGCTAAAGAGACAGATATTCCCCTAAGGAGTTGGTAGAAAGCAACACTAGAAGCTAAAAGACAGTCAAAATTGGACTTATATGCATCAGGTGGACACAAACACGACACCTGGATGTGTAAATAAGCAACTGTTAACTACTAACACATTTGCTTTATCAACTTAAAAAGTGATATGTCAGATTGTATTCACAGCTTCTTTCCACGCCAGCTTCTTTAACTTTTCATGTAGTGCCGTCATGAGCCAACATTTCTATTTGTCCAAAAATCTATTTTATGACCACAAACATGCAAAACTAATGACATTGCCATCAACCATACATGCACTTTGTGTTGCTAATTAGAAAATGTTGCTTAATTAAGCCTGTAAGTATTCCCACTGTAAACATCTTAGCATGCTGACATTAGCATTTAGCTCAAAGTACCGCTGTAGGTACTTTAAAGAGGCCATATTATGCTCATTTTCAGGTTCAAAATCTTATTTAGGGGTTGTATCAGAACAGGTTTACATGGTTTCATTTTCAAAAAACACCATATTTTTTGTCATACTGCACATTGCTGCAGCTCCTCTTTTCACCCTGTGTGTTGAACACTTGGTTTTAGCCATGGAGTGAAGCATCTCAACTCTACAAGATCTTGTTTGAGACTTGTAGATGCGCAGTTCCTTATTAAGGATTACTAGCCAATCAGAAGCGGAGTAGGGTGGGTCATGAGAAGCTGGTAAACACAGCTTTGGTTCAGCTGTATATCCCCTTACCAGCTGAGCAACATGGATGGGAGCAAGAGTTTCAGAGTGGTGAGGTATTAATTTGTAACAAATGTATCTTTCATCCATAAAGTTTTAACTGAGCTCTGTCTCTACATCACAGTAACAACTGTCCACTGACTGCCTGGAGGGTAGCTAGTGTTTGGAAGGGAGAGGAGCGGCAGCAGGCGGATGTCTCGTTACTGTGTGCTGCAGCAGCTGAGTATTTTTCCACCGGTGTTTTTGAGGGCGTGTCAGACTAGCCGCTTGGCGAGCATTATCACTGCGCATTTAGCTGCATAATTTTTGTCTTCTTTTGATTTACAAAAGAAACTAACCACTCAAGTTTCCTAACATAGAATTAAGACGTAAATAATAAAATTCTGTATCACACGATCTGCCTTTTACTTTAAAAGCCTTCATTTTGACACCGTATCTGCATCATGAATCTTTTAAAAGCTTGAAAGCTTAAAAAAATAAGTGACAAACTCTTGATGGCTTCCACCACTGCTATTTTTTCCAATTTGACAAAATTTTCTTCATTTTCTTGCCGGTAATTTCTCGTTCTAATTTGTCTCTCTTGTTACTTGTGCCAACACATTAAGTGAGATTAGGGAATGTTACTTCATTCATCATTTTACAGTCACTTGAACAACTGCGTTTTTTTCTGAGTTTTCAGATAGGTTAAGGCATGTGTAAGAGTGATGTCCTTTGTCTCCCAATACTGCCAAAATTGGGGGACAAAAATATATTGTGTTCTTTTTAAAACAACTGTACATTTCCATGAATGTGATTAAAACACTTTTTTAACATCCATCTCAGTTTAAAGGAGGTTCATCAGTTGCGTTGGTGGAGCGGGGTAATTTGAGCCTGTGGGGAAGTTCAGCCACCCCTTGTTTCTTGGCAACCATAGACCAAATTGGTTATATGAATACACAGTTTTGAAGGGTTAATCATTTTACTCACCCTGTGGTGGAGAGAGGCCCATGGAATAAGTGATAAGCACATTTAAGATAAAAAAAACTGTTTTTTGCCATTCAAATTGATGAAAGGATTTTTTTATGTTCAAGAAGTCTTGATTCTTGTGTCTGAACAATTACAGACAGGTGTCTGAACAATTACAGACAGGTTTGAAATCTTACGCATGTGTTAGTGCTTTAGGAAGTTACAATATGAGGCTATACTGTTCACACGACATTACTCTTAAACTGCTGGATGACACAATTTTGTTAAAATGGATGGGGTAATTTGAGCAAAAAGACCTGGGGAAAGTTGAGCCAGGTATTTTACTGTTATTTTACAATACATTCTTATGCATCACCAAAATTATATGACATTATGCATTTTAGACCAGAAACCATCATGTCATGTTTCTATAAATGGAAGACAGACAGGCTTGAACTCCCCTTGTGGATTTGTACAGAGCAGTGGGAGGGGTACAAAAAGGGAAGTCAGTTCATCAGGTGGCACTCGACATGATGATTAACAGGATGGCTTTAAAGCAATACATTGATATGAAACAATTAGGAGACATAGCTGCAAGGTTTCACTACTAAATGCAATTAAACTTCCCCCTCATATGGGGCAAGTTGAACCAAGGGTCCACTTTTTTTTTGAAGGCCATATTTTGAAAACAGTTTATTTTAGATCCAAATTGATTATTCCAAGAAATGCACCACATGCTAAATTATATGTACATATTTTAGTTGGAGACCTTACGTCTTCACTTTAAAGACACATCAAGGAAAACTGGCTCAACTCACCACTCTCTCTCCTACTGATCTAAGGTTGAAGATACAGTTTTTACTCCTGTGAACAGACAAAATACAGTGTGAATTTCTCAGAGTATCCTATTTTTCTACCAGCAGATGGCATGAGTTGCTTAACAACTGACTTCATCTTGCTTGCAAATATGAGAGGGGTTGAATAATTTTTTTTATGACATCAGTAAATTTGTTGATTGCATGTTTTCAGCCTCAGGACGTTTTTTCTTGCTCAGAACGTCCTCTGTCAGCATGCGAACATGGTTCAAATCAGTTGTTCCTCAATGAAAACAATCTGTCTTACTCCTTTCACAGTTAGAGGAGCAGTTAGAGGAGCATCTGCCTAAATGCTTTGACACCCTGCTTTTCCATTCTCGTCAACGGTTTGAATTTGCAGCACGTTGCAGCCTCTAGAGAGCACTGCTGAGATAACAACGTTTGGGTGAGGCAGAGAGATCAGTCAGGGGCAAGAGGAAGCTTTGTGTTCCCACCTCATTGGCCAGGCTATTCATGTATAGACATATTTTCACGGCTCATTGCATAACCACACAACAGACACTGCAGCAGGTGCTGGGCACAATACAAAGTAAATGTACATTTATTTGTCCCTTATGATCCTCCAGCAATGACACACACGTACAGTATAGGCTGTACATTGAATTTCATTAAGAACACAAGGTCATCACTTGACCCCTGCCATTTCTTATGTAATCAGACCGGCAAGGTATGTATACATTCTGTTGGGTGTGGGAGTTGCTTTCAGCCTGCAAGGTATTGTGGGTAAGCAAGCTCAGAGACACTGCTAATCAATCACAGGCAGAATGTTATGTTGCCAGGCAACAGGAAGGGCAAAGCAGCAGAGCGTTTGGAGGGGGTTGCTGGGTGGGGGTAGCCTTCGCTTTTCACCTCCGTCTCCCACGCCTGTCTATCCCAACACCACCTTCTCCTTCTCCTGTAGTGGTCGCCTGGCTGTTGTGGTCGATGGTACTTGACCCTGCATAATGTGGAGATGGCACTGATACTAAACACTGTGACTGTGTAGTGTTGTCTCGAGCAAACGCTAAATAATAATGAAAATGACCCCTGTGAAATGACCCTTTTCTCTGCACACCAAGAATCATCAACAAAAATGTTTTTTCTCAAGGTCCACTTACTATTTTTCTTTTCATCTTGCGATCTTTATCAGCAAATGAAGATCAGTTGTCACGGAGGTTATTTGGTTTGGTCACCTGATAATAGATTATATTATAGATCATATATGGGATGATGAAGGCCAGGAGATGTGGCTGCAAGCTGAGGAAGAAATCCTATAAGAATATCTGTTTTTCTTGGACAAATCTGTAAAATCTGTCAAACAAATGCAGTGAAAATGTTTTTGGTATTTGTAGTCACTTTTGATCACATACTAGAAATATTAGACTTTAATATTTTACTGAATGGTTTATAACACACTATAAAGTTGTTGTAGCCATCCATAAGGACACTTTGTCAACTTATTGTTTCCAAGGTCAACAGTAAATGTTGAAGCTCAACCTGTGTTTGAGTTAGTGAATGATTATTTATTTTTAAACATAACGTCTTAAACAACAATCTTCCCATCCAATCTCCAGCCATTTCACCCTCTGGCAGGGTATGCTGGCCCACTTTACCCTTGGATCTCAGCTGTCTATATTAAATACATCATCCTCAGATAGAAAACAGACCATCGTGTTGGTAGTATCTGTATAGCCTCAGTGAACACGCAGAGCCTCTCACCTCCTTCCATCAGGTGTCCAGTAACATGAGCTCTCACCTTACAATGAATGCATCCTGCGTGCAAAATATGCTTTCCAAAATTAGGTTTTATTTTGGAAATCTAGATTTTGTGTTTTGTTGCCACATCTTTGGTTATAACAAAAAAATAAAATGCCACTTGTCACATTTTGCAAACATGATACATAGTTAAGTGTAACATGTACTTGAACCACATGAATGATCCTGTTCAACCAAAGCTCCCGCCATGTCTCATACTTCAGGTTCAGATTACAGACCAAAGAGCGGATGTCACTCACAGAACAAAAACGTTTTGATCCATCGAACAAAGACAAGGATGGAAAAGGAATTGGAGGAAATAAACAAGCATTTACAAAAAATATCTCCTTTATTCTTTTGGCTTTAAAATGATATTACCATATGAGCGGACAGTAGTCACTTCTTGCATGCAGTTCACTAAAACACTACAAGCGCAATGAGAGATGGCTACTGATTGCTTCATGGTTTGTATCTACAGAGATGGGGACCATACATGTGTTTCATCATGTGTTACAGTGCAGAAAGGAAACAACGAGGTCTAGAAAAAATGTAAATCAAATCTGAAGACTGGAAAATTGCACTCATATCTACAGTAAAAATGTTATTTATAATCGGTAGAACATAAGCAACCTGCCGACCCCAGTTGCACACAAACACGCACTCGCTCACACAGAGATAGATGCTTACATTCTCCATTTCTTCCAAATATACACATAGACATACAAATACAGACACACTCGACCTCTCCCTCACACACACACACTTACATGTACGACTGCCACACGTGGTATTACATAGCAGTGGGGATAAAAAGTGCTCTTACATCAAATGTAAGTGTGATGCATACTGTGGGCCCAAATAGCTATATTATTTACAAACCAAACCACTACATTAAAACCACTCGCTTCTTAATTTAAACAACATGAACGTCATACAAACATTGGTGATATTAGAACCTCTAAATGTGATATATAGTCATGTTCTAGCTTGAGAGCAGTTTGAAAGGTTGACATATTCTTTTCAGTATATTTCATTATTTAAGATATTTTCTTTACAAGAGCCCAGGGAGATGAGGGGAAGAGGTGGGATGAGGGACAAACGTGGGGACAACAAATGCATTGGAGGAGACAGTGCAATGCAACAGCGGATGAATGAGTAGATATGAGTGTCACCGTAAAGGAAAAGTTTCGACATTTAGGGAAATACGCTCAATGCTGTTTGTCAGGTCTGTATCCGGACACAACATTAGCAATCCTGCAGCACAACCTGTATTCGACAAAAATGTAATGGTGTGTCTGTAATTATGAGGTTAATGCATTTTAATGATGCAATTTTACAAACCTTCTGAGCAATAAAGGTGGTGGTGTTTGAATGTCTCCACTTAGTATTTAAAAGTGTTTCAGCCTCACGTTAGCTCACATAGAGGTTAACACATTTTTAGGTTTAGGTTCCGATAGCCAGTTTAATTTTTAAAGTCAGCAAAGTACCTGGATTTGTTAAGGTAACAAGTTCAACCTTTCATCTCTCCTCGTTATTTTTTTCAAGCAAAGATAATTTTTCAAAACCTGCAGGTAACATTAGCTGGTTTCTCAGTAAAAGCTGCTCTGAGAGATGTTTATTATGTTACACTGAAACTTTTGTTTGTTGGTATGTCCTCTGACAACAACTATGAGTAAAATTCAATACAATCACGATCATTCAACAATCTACATTTTATATCTTCTGACGCTCATTTTCAAATCGTAGCTACAGCTAGTTTAGTAGGCTAGTTATCACTAAAAACGTGAGTATTTCTGGCTTCTCGTCCAACAACAGTTGAACGATTTACACTGAATCTTTAGGTTGCAGTTATTTTTAACTTCAAACCCTAACCCTACAGATTTCAGTAAATAGGAGCACTGGTATCACATCTTTACTTGGTATCAGCCAGTACCCTGATTTTGAGTATTGGTACATTTCATTTTTTGTACGGATTAAAGAAACCAGATGCAATGTTTTAATTAGATAGCTTTACAGGTGCAGGACAGTGGAGCTGTCTTTTAAATTAAGCTAATGGTCTCCTGCCTCTAGCTTCATATTTGAAGAACAGACATGAAAGTGGCATCAATCTCCACATCTAACTCCAGGGAAATAGCAACTACTATTTCCCAAAATGTCAAACAATTTCTTTAAATGTGTCTCATTCCTTGCATACATTCAGCTTCTCTGTGTTCAGAGACTTGTATTTTCTACTGAAATGGCGAGATTGCAGTCCAGATTAAAGCACAATACAGATTTCAACAATCACTGATTGCACACACTAGTGAATACAATGTATCTGTCCATTGCGATTCAGCAGGATGCTATTTGATGCTATCTTCGTATACTGTATGAACCAAAAGCATTCTGGCACTGACCCTGCATGGTTTCACATGGTTGTTTCCAGCATCGACTTTGTCTGCCCTTGGTGATTTGACGACAGTGAAAGCAGTGGACACATTCTCACAATAAAGACACAAAAAAGTAGAAAACATTCTTTCTCATTAAAAAGGAAACCTTGTAACCAAAAATAAATAAATAATGCAGAGTACTTGTTAAGTGATACAGCGATTGTTAAATTCAAGACACTGGATTTATAGTAGTAGCAGCAGCACTAGCTACAGACAACTTAACAGTACACTCAAGTGTGTCAGATAGTAACAACAACCAATAGGAAAATCACAAGCGTTTTGCAGAGAGGCTTTTCCACATTTCAGTAAATCTCTGGCAGTGTCTGCTGGATCATTTGTTTCCATATTTCCCCTCTGAGAAGACCCCATGTATTCATTTGTGACATAACCGTTCTCCCACTTTAGACCTACCGGGCATTCATTATCTCTAACAATCGGCACACAAACGTACCTATCTACCCCCTTTAGAAGCTGTAAACAAATTTCCCTCATGTCTCTAATGCATTTATTTGTTGTTCCTTTTCAAAAAGTCTATTTCTTTCGGTCTTTCGAGTCTTTCCCTTTGTTTTCTTTTTCCCTATTTTCTTTCTCGTATTTGTCCTTGTCCGATTTTGTCACACTGTTGTAGGAGGGCGGGGAGGCAGTGGAGGGCGTCATGTCCGTTTTTTCCGATGTGGAGTTCTCATTGAACTTGCTGATGACCATCACGTCCTTGTCAGGGTCGCGGAGGCCCTCCTTCAGCCGCTCCTTGTACAGGGCGGAGGCCTTCTTCATGGCCAGGCGGATCATGTAGCGGCGGAAGGCTCTCTGGATGATTACGGCCGACATGTCCTCCTGTTTGCGGCGGAGGGTGGTGGTGATGGGCTCGTAAGACACCTTAGAGGGGTTAGAGGCCATGAAGCGCTCCTCCATCTGCCCGCGTAACACATCCATCTCGCCGCCCTCACCCAACACTCGCTTGGTGAAGGCGAACAGGATGTCGAGGCAGTGGATGCGCTCGCCACTCACCATTGGCAGGTCCATGGAGATGAGCTGGGTCATATTAGGCTTGGGCATGCGCAACGGCGGATCTAGAGCATCTGCAAAGTCAGAGAGCTTGCTGTACTCCATGAACTGAGTGGCGTCGGGATCAAAGCGCTCCCACACTTCATAGAACATCTCAAAGTCATCTTCGCTCAGAGGCTCGGCGCTCTCCTCTGTGGCCACGCTGAAGTTCTCCAGGATGACGGCGATGTACATGTTGACCACAATGAGGAAGCAGATGATGATGTAGCTGACAAAGAAAAAGATGCCCACTGATGGGTTGCCACAGTTACCTTTGTAGTAGTTGCCCGGGTGCTCCATTTGGCTGTCACAGTCGGGCTCCCTCTTGTTCAGTATGGGTGCCAGCAGGCCGTCCCACCCGGCTGAGGTGGTAATCTGAAACAAACAGATCATACTGTTCCCGAAGGTCTCGAAATTGAACATGTCATCGATTCCTGACTCTCGCTTGACGTAGGCAAAGTTGGACATGCCAAAGATGGCGTAGATGAACATGACCAGGAAGAGGAGGAGGCCGATGTTGAACAGAGCAGGGAGTGACATCATCAAGGCAAAGAGAAGCGTCCGGATGCCTTTGGCACCTTTGATAAGGCGGAGGATGCGGCCGATCCTGGCCAGACGGATCACTCGGAACAGCGTCGGGGACACAAAGTACTTCTCGATAACCTCCGATAAAAACATACCTGCAAAAGCAAAAAACATCTCATTCAGCACACAATTTTCCTCAAAATCTACTGAGAAGCTGAGGCACCTTAAACATCTCCTTACCTACAATGGACAGGATTACCACCACAAAGTCAAATATATTCCAGCCAATGGTGAAGTAATAGTGACGCAGAGAGATCATCTTAAGCGCACACTCCCCGGTGAAGAGCACGATGAAGACCAGGTTGATCCAGTAGAGGATTTTGTCCATCTCCGGCGTCTGGTCGTCCGTCTCCACCATCATGGTCACCATGTTAAGGCAGATGAGGATCATGATCACGATGTCGAAGGCCTGCTTTGTGATGCAGTCAAACACGAAGCCTTGAAATGCATTCTGAGGACAGCGGAGGACAAGAAACATGAGAGCATTAGACATTTTACACCTCTGCCTGTAGTCCATTAGCGAGAACAGACAGAGTGGAACCCACAGTCTGAGCACTTAAGAGTCTTACTGTTGGCCGAGGTATAGGTTTCTGCGGTTTCTTGGAACCCAGCTTCTTCATGGCATTGTAATATTTCTTCTGTTCTTCTGTCATGAAGATGTCCTGACCTCCAAAGTAAAGGGAACGCAACAAAATTTGGTTACAATCGTGTACTTTAAAGAATCTATTTCTCTTTCATTTTTGAAATAATGAATCAGCGTTTGGATCAGTGCCTTTGAAGCACACAAGGTCTTACAACAGATCTTGCTTTTGTTTTTAATGACATTATGAGCAGCAATCAGCGGGAAAACTGTTAGGTTACGTGATGAAAAGAAGGAAATTACGTCCCTTAGTCGAAGTAGACAGAAAATGTATGTACACAAGCTGTGTAGTGCTGTACTCTAGATGCAGCAAATATAACTGTATCAATGTAAGTAGGCCTACATTTTGATAGGCGGATGCAGGGGGGGCTAGTCAGATATTTATTTAGCATAGACCTATACCTGACACCTGCTGTTTGTTGATGGCAGTGCATGTCAACTTGTTGAGAGCAGGTCACATTTTTGACTTCTTCATTCATGCATAATGTCAGGGGCAATTCTGTAATACTGCTGCCTTTGAATGACCTGGCCGTTTTATCCTTGTAATTACTCTGTGTGAAATAAAGTCCTATTAAGAGGGTCAACCTCTCACTCTCTCTCTCTCTCTCTGCCATGTGCGACATTTGTCCTGTGTGCAAGCTGTACCACTGGCAGTCTATGGGCCACGCTCCTCTCTCTTTGTGCCCTTTTTGGATAATGCAAATCTGAGATTCCAGCACTCATACTGTCAACAACAGAGATGTTGATTGGCATGACATGACCTATCCTTTGAGCAGGGGGGGGGGGGGGGGGCTGTTCTTGGTCAGAGACATTGATTGGCTTTATGTCTTCCAGCCACTTTCTTTATTAAAAAAAAGGACTATGTGTGGCTCATAAGACAGAAAACACTGCATCCTTAATGTATATGATGATATGTCACATCACCGTTTTGGTTAATGTTGTTGTCTAGTGTCTTGTAATCCAATATGCTCTAGGCACCAAAACACTGAAACCAATGTCAGCAGTAAGCTCTCTTTTTTTAAAGGACACATCATGTGGTCATCAGTCAACAGAAAACAATTACACCTGCACACCTGCAGGAAGATCCTCCACTCCCCTTTGTTTAAATGTCATGTTAAAGTTTTTTTTCTAAATTGTTACTTCTGGGCTTGCATCTTGATTTATTTAGTTTCATTTTATTTTAAATTCTTTTGGGGTTTGCAGGTGTACAGGTGAAATGATTTTCTATTGACTGGAGAGCTGGTTCACTATAACCAATCTTCATTGGGGAAACTGTTGTATTTTTATTTGATCTAAGGTCAAATATATTTAGATATCTAAAGTAGACTTTCTCTGTCAATGTTTAATCACATTTCAGCAGCAGAAAAAGAATGACAAATGTCAAGAAACACATTTCTAAATTATTTACAAAAATGCCAAAAGTCAGCCCACACAGTCACACGTTAATTTAAAGAAATGAATCCCCATCCCGACTTTATACACGCGTCACACATCACAGTCTCAGTGTATGATGCATGTCTGGAGGGTGGACTGGTGTCAACACTGAACAACCATCTGTGTGACGCTGTGGCTGTGGGGCTTCTGAACCACACCGACTGATACAGTGTCTCAGTCAGTCAAGTCGGACCTGCCAGTACGCAGCAAACACAGTCCACACAGTGGAGCCCCCTTCCCCCTTCTCCGTCTCTTGGGCGTTGCCAGTCCTACATGTTAGCGCTTGGTTCAGCGGAGGGCACATTTGCAGACTACATTCACTGTGACACTGCATGTGTATATACGGTGTGTGTGTGTGTGTGCAGGCAGGGTGTTTCTCAGTGACTCATGCACCCTCAGTAATCCTCAGTAAGTCGGCACCGTGCTGGAGATAATCATTATTCTGTTGCTCAGTTCTTTCTTTAATGCAGCCGAGGGTCTGCTTTATCTAATCCTGTGCTTCAGCCACTTTGTACCCAGGCTGTGCATGAAGCTGGCACGCCGTGGCACAGGTCTAGTACCTGTTGGGGTTCCATTACAACAACTCAGTGCAAAACCAAAGCTGTGAGTGTACACATTAATAACAGCTGGCAGGACATTTCATCTTCACTTTGAAATATTATTGCATCTCCAAAAGCTAGGGCTACAGATTTTTGTCCTTGTACAATGTGTAAAATACATTGTGAGAATCTAGTTAGTACAACGTGCAAAACAACGGTTGTTTCAGTCAAAAAGAAATGTAGAAGACAATTGGCTACAATACGTAGTTGTCCTTACTCACAACAGACGTGACTGGTGTGTTTCAGTTCCATACTGTATACTATTAGTATGCAGTATGGATACTGATCTTTATAGTGTACTGTTTTTGCAGGTAGTATACGAGAAATCAACACATTACAGAATTTGTCCTCAGATGTCAATCAATCTGAAACTTTAAATGCCTGACATGCCACAGCATTCAAAAATGTGTTTGCGATGATGGCTGGAATGTGTATTGCGTCACCCACGTGCATGTGCATGTGCATCCTTGCTAACAAAACAGTGTGTTAATAGAGGTCAAATACTCCACAGGGAACCTTTAAATGCTCAACAAGTAAAATGACTTTCAGCTGTGAGCAGCGCCTCCATTTCCTTTGTGCAATGTATTGTTGGAGAATAATTTGGATCAACAGCACACTCAAAAATCAAGCGTTTTTTAACAGGTATAGAGAGAGTGTTTTGAGTATACCTAATTGAGTCATGTTTCCAGTATGAACACACTTAATCTGGCTCCCTGTCTCTCTCATCTAACGTAATCTAAGTTTGCATTATCTGCTAGAGACTGTTACTAAATGCAACTTATCTTCTTCTTCTGCTGGTTGAAGTTGTCGATGATGACACCAATGAACAGGTTGAGGGTGAAGAAGGAGCCGAAGATGATGAAGATGACAAAGTAGAGGTACATGTACAGGTTCACTTCATATTTAGGCTGGTCTTCCAACTAGAACAAGCAAGACATTACATTTTAAAAATGTTACTGGCTTTCATAAGTTGTGTATGTCAATCCCCAGACACAGAAAATGAATTAGCTGAACTCGTTATGCAACCAGATAATGGAAGCTAAGACAATGGGCATTCTCACTGTGTGAAAGCTAACTTACAAATCCCTCTGTTAAACACCAAGACACTTACACCTCGAGAGTCCACAGCTGCATACATGATGTCCATCCAACCCTTAAATGTTGCCTAAGAGCAGATGAGAGAACAATCAGTGTTTCAGTCTGGATGGTGGGGGTGGGGTCAAACAACCTTCTTCACAACCTTGATCATCTGATTCTCCCAACAGTCAAGCTCTGCTGCTTGGCTGTCATTTAGATTTCTTTTTGCTTGGGGGAACACAATAACCTCACATATCACACAACCAATTGTCTTTAATAATGGTGGGTATCATTATAGCTGGAAGAATTATTTCACGCCACTGGATAAATCCCAAGTGACATATATTTAGTACCTTAAATAGGATTAGGAGTAAAATAAGTTTATCAACCATCTTAACGTTTGAAATTACTCCTATCTGGGATGCCATGGGTGATGACCCGTTTTCCACATGCTTCATTACAGGTAACATCTCACATTAGGTGTTATTTTTATTCATTTGCAGGGCTACAACACTGAGATATATTTTTAATAATAGTCATAATAAGATGGGTGACATTACACACATGATAATATACATAATATACATATATATAACAGTAGGTGTGGTTGAAAGTGGATTTGGAGAGGTGAAGAAAAGATTCCATATTCTCTGTGGAGAGGTGTGCCACAGCCCACAGAGGGTTTGCAAAATTACACTGTGTGCCTGTGCAAGATGCTGCAACATGCTTAGTCACACAATTTAAAAAAGATTTGATTAAGTACAGCTGACTTGGACAATTTTATGCAGGCAAGTTAAAGTATCTACTATTTTTTTATTTTTACAACCTAATTGGTAAAGATTATGAAGCTGTGTGTATTCAATTTGGCATCATATTTTTTCCATACATGTCAGTTCCCTATTCATTGTGCTATACACATAAATCCTACAGTGCGTTTTTCTTTTTCATTTTGAATGGTCAAAAAAAACTACAACATGTCATCATAATTAGCAACGTCACAATTCTACTGATTTGAAGTCAGTGTAGGAAGCTTCTTAAATAACTGCTCTGAGTGTTTTTACTCCTGTTTCAGTGTGAAAGGGATCCTGAGATCAATACAGGCCCTGGTACCATTTTTTGGATAATATTAATTGTCTTTGATTTAATGTGACCAAAGTCATTCAACGTGTATTAGAGCTGCAAGCATTAGCAGATCAATTAATTAGTAACTCGACATAATATCAGTGGACAAGTATTTTGATAACCGATTAATCATTTCAGTTTCTAAATGTTTCTTGTCCTACATGACAATAAATTCATTAATCTCAAGGTTTTTAGTTGACAAAACAGGCTAACTGAAGACATCCCTGTGGCCTTTAAAATGAATGAATATTTCACAGACTAATCGAGAAATCGAGAAAATAATCTCTGGATTTATTTATAAAGAAAATAATTGTTAGTTGCCATTTAATACGTATATCTTTTTGGTTTGGCTTTTTATTTGACAACTGATTTTAGATTGACCATCTGATGTTTTCAACTCTCTCTCTGATATCAAATTGTAAATGTAAACGAAACCATTCAGAAAATGATAATCAGTGATGAAGTCAACTGCATGACAAAATTAGAAGCTATTACTTCAAAACACATTGGCATACTTTGACATTTTTTATTTTGTCTTCATAAGTCCACCTGTGTTGCCAAGTCTAAACTCACCACTTGCAGTAGAGCCAGATAGCCGGCCCCAACATTGTCAAAGTTGATTTTGACATTCTTCCAGCGGGCGCTGTCGTTGACTAAATTCAGGCAGTCAGTCTTGTTGTTGACTACTTCTATGGGGAAGATCTCGTCTGTGGTGGTGTTGATGCAGTGATAGTACTTCCCAGCAAACAGGTTGACGCCCATGATGCTGAAGATCAACCAGAAGATGAGGCAGACCAACAGCACGTTCATGATGGAGGGGATGGCCCCGAGCAGCGCGTTCACCACAACCTGGAGAGGTTGAAGCACACAGACAGACTCAGCCGTCTCCTGCTGGCCAAACGGAGGTCTCCGCTTGCCAAAATAGAGAGGCTATTTGATTTTAGGTAAGTGGCCATTACAGTCATCTCTTAACTGCTCTGTAATAAGACATGTGGACATCGGATTTGATTGGTCTGTAAAGCTGGTGCTACAGTTTTCAGAAGAGCTAAGTCTTATTTAAAAAATCTATGTGCTTCTATACCATTGAAAGCTGTATTTGATATGTAATGTCTGCACACATTGCAAGCTCTTAACACCATACAAATCTACAGAGAGACTTTAACAACATGACAGTTGGAAAGAAGGTGGATAGGTGAAAAAGTTAACATTTCATAGGTAAAAAAGCAAAACAGAAAAAAACCTTAGAGAAGCGGGATGAAGTCACAACATTTTGTTTGACTGTAAATGAAAAAAGACACACAACAAAGAAAAAAATTACAGGTCAAAGGCACCACACAAGCAACATCAGAAAACAATGCCTGAGAACAGCTATATACAGTAATTCATTGACACAATGTGAAGAAGGTCATGCAGATAGAAGTACAGTGTTGAATTGCAAGGAAAAGATAACTCTACAGAATATGCAATAAGCATGCAGTCTGACAGTCAGGCCGATTACTAACCGATTACTAACCTCTAACCATTTAACTGACATCACACATTAACACAGAAACATTTCAGATTCCAAAACAAAACAATCGAGTTTGACGAGAAGATTAATACCACTGCCGTAATATATTTATTTATGCCAGCACACAGTTAGCTTAGCTTAGCCTAGCATGGCTTTTTTTAATCTGCCTACCAGCACCTCTAAAGCTCATTAATTAACATGTTTTAGCTTGTTTATAGAGAGCATGGCTGGCTGGCTCCATCTGCTGCCAATTTTATGGCTAAACTAAGCTAAGCATCTCTTGGCTACAGCTGCATAACATAGCGTACAGGAATGAGCGTGGTATCTAGCTTCTAATCTAACTCTAGGCAAGAAAGTTTAATACCTAAGGGTAAAAAGTATATTTTACATTTTACAATTTTACTTGAACATTTTACACCTGAAACATTATAAATGTTAGTGGTTTAACTTTCAGCTTGCGCACAAAAAAGTAAGGATTTTCAGGCAGGTTATTCCAGATGTCCTTACCCTCATGCCCTCAAACCGAGATAGGGCCCTAAGGGGCCGAAGGGCTCGGAGTGTCCTCAGAGATTTGATGGCGGTAAGCTCAGAGTAGCCCAGAGCATTGGCTACAAGGCTGACCAGGGACACCTGAGAGAAGATAATAACAAAGACAAGCAGGGTGAAAGGTGAGAAATGAAAAAGGTCCCTTTGCACAGGTTCCAGCCAGAGTGTTTAAACAAGAAGGTTAATTAGGCATTAATTATTCGCCTGCACACATTTAAAGAGATAATAAATAATTTTAAGAGATTAAAAATTAGTAACAGAAGTATCTCAAAAACTGTGATTTTCAAATAAAGAGATGTGACAACAATAACTTAAGAGGACACATTTTCTTTCTTGCAACAAGTTAGACGAGAGGATGGACGCCACTCTTATGCCTGTATGTTTAATAGGAAGCTACAGCCAGACAAGAGACTGTACACATATGAAGGTGCGTTATCGAACTTCTAAATCCAACTCTCAGCAAGAAATCATGTATTTCCTAAAATGCTGAACTATTCTTAAAAGTCAAATTGTCTTTGATTTAATGCCTGATTGGAAGCTTTACATACGTCTACAATGAGGAAGTCGAGCCAGCACCAGGCGTTGGTGAAGTACTTGACAAAGCCGTATGCCACCCACTTCAACAGCATTTCCAGGATGAATATGTAAGTGAAGACCTTGTCTGCGTACTCCAGCATTGTTTTGATGGTCCTTCGCTGCTCGATGTAAACATCCTCAAATGCCTATACAGAATGGAATAAATAATAAAGACTGCAGGTGGAAACAGTTACATGATGGTTGATTCTGCAAAGGCACAAGTTAAAGGTCAGTTCAGAGGGGGATTTTAGGAGTGACCATGACGTAATGCTGCTAAATCCCGTAGACATGAAATGTAACTACGGAGCCTTAGATGAAGGCAACACTGCAAAGTATTTTTCCTATATATATATATATATATATATATATATATATATATATATATGTGTGTATATATATATATATATATATATATATATATATATATATATATATATGCTTTGGGGAAGATACGATAGGGAAATCCGCCATAGCACCCGGGCACGACGGACCCCCTTATAGCCCTATGGAGAGGAAGAAGGAGATCAGGAGGCAGGACAGAGAAAGGGGTTGGGGGGGAGGAATGCAGGATACGAGAGCGAAGAAGAGGAGTCAGGACGTGTGGGTATTTAGTTCGAAGAGAGCGCGATTGACTTCGGTTAAAGACGTCTGTTAGCTTGACCTAAGGTCGAAACAACGTTACCTCGATGCGAGCTTGAAGCGAGCGAGTTCGAAGCGACTGAGCTGGAAACAACTTTGGTTTACAAACGACTGTATGCTCAATGTGAGCTCAAAGGTCGAAGCGACTGGGAGCTCAAGTGACTGATAGCTTGAAGCTACTTTAATGCAAAGGCTGCAACCCGAAACAACTGACTTGACGTGGGATCGAAGCGGCTGAGCTCGTAGTGACTTTAACGAAAGGTGACTTTGTTTAAAACGACTGTTCGCTCGAAACGACTGTTAGCTCGAAACGACTGTGAGCAGGATGTTAGCTCGAAGTGGCCGTGACCGGATGTTGGGTCGAAACATCTGTTAGCCGGATGTTAGTTTGAAAGGAATGTGAGCTCGAAACGACTGTGAGCCAGATGTTAGCTGAAACGATTGTTGGCTCAAAACTATTTTGGTTTAACGACAGTTGGGTTGAAGGACTGTTATCTCGACGTTTGCTCGAGTCGACTGTTGGCTCGACGTTTTCTCAAAACGACTCACCCTGAAGATGACTTAACTAGAAACTACTGTTTGCTTGAAGTGATTATACCGGTTTAGGTAAAGACAACTCAGAACGCCTTAGCTAGAAAATGCTGTTGGCTAGAAATGACTGAGTTCAAAATGACTGTTAGCTGAATGTTAGTTAGAGCCGACTGTGAGCTCGAACGACTGTTTGCCGGATGATGGCACGAAATGATTGTGAGCCGAACGTTAGTTCGAAACAACGGAGCTTGGACCGACTGTAAGCTTGAGATGACTGTTAGCAGGATATTAGCTTAAGACGGCTGTTAACCGATATTAGCTTGAGACGGCTGTTATCTTGAAAGGACAGGCATTAGCGTAGCATGTTCAACAAGCTGTTGCTTGGTCTGAGTTCGAGTGGGGAATACGAGAGCTGTGCAGGATACGAGAGCGAAGAAGAGGAGTCAGGACGTGTGGGTATTTATGGAAATGCTGACGATGACGTGGTTGATGTGTGGTCCCACTTCTGAAACTCTGCTAATTAGCACCACTATATATCTGTATGCGATTTTTGCTGTGATGTGCCAGAGCTAACCACTTACCCAACATGCTGTTAATTATACAAGAAATGTTTATCAAAACATTTGCTGGAAATCATCATTGATTTTGGGTCACAAAGGGAGCACATACATACGAAAACACCCACTTACCAGTGCTCCACTGCTGAGCAGGATCATGAATATGATGAAGGATTCAAACCAGTTGTGCTCCACTATGATAAAGCAGGTTTTCCTGAGTGTCCACCAGCTCTTATACTTGCCTCCCTCTTCGTTGATCTGGCAGCACTGGAACCTGCTCACACAGCCTGCAGGCATGGGGAAAATGTGGGGAGAGAGGCTTAAGAAATTGCTATAGAATTGAACATGAGGTCCATGTTGACTGAAGCTAATTGTATGACTCAACAACCCTCTCTATCTTTTCTCCGTCAATCAGTTTTCATTACTTGACTCTTCTACAGCCAAGTTTCCATCCAAATCTAGCACAGACTTTAACAAATTCCAGAAAAATAGCAAAAGACGTGCACGCGACCACTGCAGAAGAAGGTAGCAAAGAGATGACGTAATTAAAATGCCAGTCACACCCAAAACGACAGAAAACCAATATGGTATTTATCTCGGTTTTGTGTATTCATTTGAGGTTACAGTCTCATCATCTTGCATTTCTGTATTCCGCACTCATGAAAGACTTAAGAGGTTTTTGAAGATTCAGAGTTGTAGTGGAGGTGTGTCAGACTAAATGTCAGGTTACATTACAAACCAAGACAATCCCACAGACTACTTTTCTTTCTGTGCTGCTGAGCATTTGCCTTTACTGTCACTCAGCGGTGAGTATAACACAGTGATGCAACGCACAAGCAGTTAATGCAATTTACTCTACGTCTTCAAATGTGCTGTAGAAGCATTTCATCTCCCACCTTTCTCACTCTGTCCCACTTTCCCATTACCTATCTTCCTCCCTGCCTATCACGCTACATCCCTCTCACCCTCTGTGAAGCAGGCCTCTGGGTCCAGTGACTCCTCCGGCTCCAGCTCCACTGAATCCACCCCATCTACTGGGGGGCGAATATCAACTGTGCTCCCCTCCGATGAGCTCAGAGGGTGGGGCTGTGCATCGAGCTTCTGCATGGACGAGGAAGAAGATGAGAGTGCAAAGTTACACTGCAGTGCCTGAAACGACAGAGGTTCAGTGGTTATAGGAGCCAACCTTCTGAGCTGGTTATCATTGTAATTCTCCATTCACATGTACTCCAGTGCCACAACTGTATACCTTAGTGTGGAGACAAGGCACTGCGATAGCTCACAGAGTTGGGCTCTTTAAATTTATCATCATTGTATTATCATCATCACATGCAGCATCGATCAAATGTACCTACAGGCTGTGATATTAGTTTTATCTGATGGCTCAAATCCGATTATGTGGCAACACATGGCATGGGGAGGTTGGCTTTACGGAAATGCTCTGTGGGTACGTTTGATGTTACCTCAGTTCGAGGAAGAGTGCATGCAGTATTCCAGTGCATTATCAATCCAAGCCTGAAATAGTACCAAGCAGAACGTGTGCTGGAGTATTTTCATGTCCACTGAAAAATGACCCCTAATCAAGTCTATAATTTATCCCATTTTGAATATTATTTCTATGAATAATAATTTCCCAACCCAAAGCTAGAATCCACCCACGGAAGGACTGCTGAACATATTCCTCAGTGACATGAAAACACATTATTTCCATTCCTTGAAAGCAGTGTACAAGCTTCTTCTGTTTGTGTTGAAGTAGACGGATAACCACATTAGCTTACCAGCAAAAACCAGTACTGTGCACTGTTTATAAGACAGCATGAGGTCTGGCATCCCCCCCCCATTTGTAAAGCGTATTGAATTAGCACCCATGCATACCCAGAAAACATACAGGACTAAGGTGTGGTACTCAACGATTTTCCTCCTTCTCAGAAATATGCAAAACACATGTAAGACGTGTTGCTGCCGTTGTCAAGGTTATTTTACTCTGTCTTCCTGGCTAACTCTTCCTGGCAACACTCTTCTGGAACCCTAAAATGCAGTGATCTTTGTTTTTGCTGTAATGCACATTACAACATCATTTGCATATAGTGGTGTTATGAGGCTTCCTGTCTGTTTTTCTTTGGGCAAACATGGTGTTATATGGCCTCATGTTTAACCTGTCTAGCGTGTGAAGTATAGGAACATGTCATCCTAGACAGTGCAGCAGCTCTGATTGCCGTGGGACCCAGCTAATACGGCATGGGAATGATGGAAGCATGCTGCTCACAAGTGCATAGTTTCCTGAAGGGGTGTTTCCCTCCAGTTTCTCTTTCTCTCCTTCAGCAAGAGACCCATTTTACCTCTTCTGGACGTGGGTGATATGAGGCTTTTACTCTTAACCTAAAATGCTTTTATTGGCAAATTTTGTTGGCAAGTTTTACTATATTTGAATAAGTTGGGTGACGAGATAGTTGCAGTGGAACTAAAGAAGATAACACGGGCGTAGAAGTACATAGAACAGAACGACTAATTCATAGTGGTTGTGTATATGTACCACATCTGAATCTGGATTCAATGTAGTCTGGGATAGGGTTTCTTAAATTTTATATTTAAGGAGGATAGAAAATGAAGAATCTCTGATTTAATTAATTGCCGTGTGTTATCCGTTTTGCCACCCTGCAAAAATCAGCGTTTATTTGATTGTGTTTGAAAATGATCTCCTTGGAAAGAATTCTGTAAAGAATCTTTCATCATTCCACTATTATTTGAGTATCACAGAAAAAAAGTACGTACAAGTATTTCATGTGTATACATGGGTTATGAACCAGACAAATGAATTTTGTCAAACTACAGCAAAATTCATTCCATCTCTCTTTTTTTCCTCATTCTCCTCCACCTCCTCTCTTCCTTCAATCCCAAGCTCGGAGTGTTGGATGCCAATCAAGTCCAGAAACCAAGTCAAAACCAAGCAATGAAATCGAAAGCAAAGATCATGTTAGATGAGTTGGTCTATCAATGGAAAAAGGTGGTGGTGCTCATTCCTAATGGTTTGTAACTGCAATACAGCCTGATGCTTGGAGATAAATTATGAAAGGGGGGGAGGGGGTTAAGGGAAAACTTAAAGATTACAGCATTGAGAGTGCTGCTGTATGGGGAAGAGGGGGGGTATAAAGCAAAGAGGGTGGGGTTGGGGACGGAGGGCAGACCAGGCAAAGAACAAAATGGGCAATCCATTGAAAGTATGAGAAAAAATATGCTGTTTGTCTGTAAATGGTAGGCAGTCCTCATGGTTAGTGCTATGGTACAATAAAGTGGTCTTACAATTCTTCTCTCACTGAAAACCTTGAGAGCTTCTGTGACACAGCTGCAATAACAAACGGGGGGTTAAACAAAGTAAGTCAAACACACCAAAAGCTAGCATTCAACCTCAAGTCTGCTTTCACTGGTCAGACGCAAAGCACACGTTAGCCACTGCGAACAACAATTTAGATTTCCATGAAAGCATATTCCTTAACAAATGCAATGCAAAAGAGTGGGATGCTGTTTTTATACTGGCAATGATGTTTTTAAACGGGCAAGGACGCTTTTTATCAAACTCTATGCACAGTGGGTATGAAATGTCCGAATATATTTTTACTGTTCCTGCGTTATCACAATTCACCAACCGCTGGCTACAAGGTATTAAGATCAGCAGTGACAAGAGAGAGCATTGCCTCATCCATATATGGAGCATGTGGTGCCATAGCTAGAAATAGTCTCCTGGGTTATTTTGACTCACAGGGAATTGGCACCACACCCACAGTGGCAGGTTGACATCACCAGGGAGCACAGTCCCAATGCTCTGTCAGCCTGGCAACACTTAACAGCAAACCTAGCATTTGCTCTCTTGGAATAGGCAATGAATTACAAAGAAAAGTAAGACTTCAATGCAAAAAATGTGCCAATGGTGGTTAAAATTGTAGAATATTAGATTTAGATTTTAACATACACTGATAATCCGTTTCGGTACACTATTTCGCAGCAACATATGAACCAGGCTTAGTTCACCTCTTTAAATTTGGACAAAACATTTTGCTGCTTAATTAATTTCATCTTAACACATGCACACATCTATGTTGCTTCCGCTGAAGCATGGAACGATGTATTAAGCTGTCTCTTTAGCAGGTGTGTGTGTAATAGTGAACTTCAATTGCTGGCAAGTCACCCATGTAGCACTGTACACAAACACACTCACATGTACACTCTAATGAGCGCATCATGAACCTGCTTCATAGGTCAAAGGCAAATTTGAGTCATTTTTTGTCATGGCTCTTTGTTCTGCTGCCAAGGGCTTTAGAGCTGAATAAAAACTCCAGAAGATTCACTCAGTAGCACAGCATGATGCATGTACAAATGAGTCAGCAGGTGTGTTATTTTCAAACTGCTTGACTGTTGGGAAATTTTCTGAAAAGGCTCTCTATGCAAATCTTGACATATTCATACACTGATTGATTTGTGTTGGGTGTTACAAATATAAAGGAGCTACTCAAATACAAAAGCTGTATGACGCAAGAGATTTCCTTCAACCTGACAGAGATGTCAATCAAAGTCTTTCATCGTACCTCTTTGCTGCCCTCCACATCTGACGAGTCACTGCTGAAATCTTCTGTGTTTAGGTTCTCAAAGTCTGACTCGCCCACAGCGATGGGCACCGTGACTGTCAGGCTGGGGTTATGAATAAATGACATGTAGTCGCATTCCTCCATTGGGTACTTCTCTGTGGTGTTCCCACCAACCCCGACCACCAGCCCTCCTCCTGGCCGTCCATTGCCCTCCTTCATGTACACCCCACTGGGTTCTTTGGTTATCTCCACTGAAGTGTGGTTGGAGATGCAGTTGCCCTTGCCATTGCTATGCAGTTCATCCAGAGGTTTGCTCTCTTCAGCCAGTCCAGAGCCCTTACCACTCCCTCCAAAGCAGAGGCTCTGGAAGAACTGCCGCACTGTAGCTTTGACAAATGCGATGCCCCGCTGGATCCGGCCCACAGCAATCTGCAAGTTGTTCATCTCACTGTCGTCGTCGGTTGCCGCAAGGTTGTCAGCGCTGAATGAGCTCAGGAGGAGAGCCAGGAACAGGTTGAGAACCTAGGAAGAAGTGGACATTAGGTAGGAAAAGTGAATTCCACTTCACCATTATTACTTGTAAACAAAGCGTCTGCTCCAACCAACAAAATATTTAAAAAAAAATAAAATTCTAGCAAACTACAGTATAATCTTAACCTTAATCTAATAAAAAGGAAAAATGTCATACCACAAGGTTTCCAATGACCATGACCATCATGAAGACGATCAGGCACATGGTCTGTCCAGCCACCTCCATGCAGTCCCACATGGTCTCTATCCATTCTCCACACAGCACCCGAAACACAATGAGGAAGGAGTGGAAGAAATCGTGCATGTGCCAGCGGGGCAGCTGGCAGTCATCAGAAATCTTACACACGCACTCCTTGTAGCTCTTGCCAAACAGCTGCATGCCCACCACGGCAAAGATGAAGACGATGATGGCCAGCACCAGAGTCAAGTTCCCTAGAGCACCCACGGAGTTACCAATGATCTTGATCAGCATGTTCAAAGTGGGCCATGACTTAGCCAGTTTGAAAACCCTCAGCTGTTCAAAAGGAAATCAAGAGTTAGATTAGAAGATCAGTACCACTTCCATACATGTATGCTAAATATGCAGCTAGAGCAGGAGAAGGTTGGCTTAGTTTAGAATAAAGACTGGAAGCAGGGGGACAACAGCTAGCTCTATCCAATGGTACAAAAAATCTGCCTAACAAAAATCATTAATTAATAGATTACATCTCATTTTCTGGTTGTCTGGCAAGCTCACAAGGCAAGCTCTACAATACATAACTCCCCATAACATCACACGTTGTTGTATTTTTTCATTTGTGTATAGACTAAAGAAACAAGGTAACATTTGTGAGCATGAGAGGTGCACTTTGGAGTGGTTAGCTTTGATATTTCAAGCTAACCTAAGCTAACAGTCTGCTAGCTCTATTTTTTAAATGGAAAGATGTGACAGTGCTATCAATCTTATCTAACTCTCACCAAAATGTCAATAAGCGCATTACCCAAAATGTCAAACAAAAACGCCTCAGAGAGTCTAGCAGCACAGCAACAGTCACAGAAAGCTAATCAGGGGAACAGCAAAAACACACTGTGCCCCAAAGGCCAAAACAACTCTCAGTGGGACCTCTCATGTACTGCACAAAAGCTCTCATTGCATCATTAATAACATGACTGACCCTAGAAGTACAGGTGCATCCTAAGCCTTAACCTTTCTCATCTAAATAGCAGATGATCCTCTGCAATAATTCAGCCAGTGCTCTTACCAATCTAAAGGACCTGAGAACAGACAGGCCTTCTACGTTGGCCAAGCCAAGCTCCATCAGACTCAGACTAACAATGATGCCGTCAAAGATGTTCCAACCCTCCTGGAAGTAGTAATAGGGATCCAGGGCGATGATCTTGAAGCACATCTCTGCTGTAAAGATGCCTGTGAACACCTAACGACAAAAGGGGAAACATTCTAGTTTAACACCTAAATCTGCTTCATTCTATGTATTTATGTTTTTTTCTAGTTTTGTCCAGTCGGCGTATGTAAGCATATCAGACGATACTTGCCAGGTTTCCAACAGAGAGGACGTTATCAAATTCTGTAGTCATGGGATAATGCTCCATGGCCATAAAAAGGGTGTTGAGGACAATGCAAATTGTGATGGCCAGATCCACAAATGGGTCCATGACCACTGTGCTGACAACTGCCTTGATTTTCAGCCATGCTGGGCAACAATCCCATATCAGAGCAGTGTTGGCAAATCTGTACCAGCAGGGGGGGCATTTCTGTCGTGACTCTTCAAGCTCTGGGAAAGGAGACATGATCACATTTCATCATACTGAAATACAGATAATATCTTTATACTGTATATGCTATAGTGGCATGGAGGTAAGACAGAAAGAAAATAAAACAAAAAAGACTAAAGCCAAAATAATAATAAATGGCCGGATCCTTACCTTCCATGGTGTTGGTGAGGATGCTGGCCACACTCATGGCTCTCTGCCTGCCCCCTGGTTCAGCTAAATAATCCACAGATGGCTGGTGAAAACCTGACCGCCGTTTCTTAAGATCAGTATCTGTTGTTGTCCCCTGGAAAACAAAAAATGCCAGATAAACAGATTAATGGCAAGATTTTTAGGCAATATTTCGCAGAACAGGACAGGTTATCATATGAACAAACATCACACGTGTTTTATCATTTTAATATCATCTTGTCTTAGTCTATGCCCTCCTGGTTTAGTGTGTGGTTATTTCATAACTTGTATTTTAAAAGGTGTTTTCACTTATTTGCCTGATTAGACCTGGTCTGAGCTCTGCGTGATCATGCACAGACTGTACTTCATTGACATCCGTCTGACCCTCTAATTAGTGTAAGTTAGTGTTGCACCTTTTAGGGTGGGAAAGGTTAGACCTTTATCATTCTTGTTTGGTTTATTAAGTTTGTTGACGTGATTCCAGCATAACTCCAACCAACTTCAACCTGTGAGGTTGTGCAGGGCCTTTAAATGATCAGTCTGGTGATATTCAAAATTTTTCTTATGGCCACTTAATCTCATGTGCGGAGCCAAATCAACAATTAATGTATCCTACTAACAAGTAGTGTGTGTGCGTGCATATGCATAAGCCTGATATATCTTATTTCTCTGTGCCAGAGAGCTCCATTGTCAGGAGTCTCAGCCTCAGGTGATGAGAATGGGAATTACATTAGTTTTGAAGGTATTTGCTCATAAACCAAAGTATTAGACAAATTAAAATGTTGACCTTTACCACATGAAAAATGAAGTGAATGTCTGTACCAAATTCCATTGCAAACCATCCAATAGTTGTCAAGATATTTCCCTCTAAAACAAAAGATTCAACTTCATAGACAGTCAGGGGATCACCAAAGTCATCAGGATTCATCCCCTGGAGACCATGAATGTCAAATTTTCATTGCAGTCCATCCAACAGCCAATAAACAAGTGAACTTGTGAGCTGTTTTACATATTTTCAGACAATTTATGTCCCCAGTAGGAACCACTAGGCGTGGGGAAGAGAACCTCAGCTCAAACTTCTTCCCACCTGGGAAAAATGGATTTCCTCTTAATCGCTTGATGATGGACTACATACCCAAATAACTCTAACTTGTCAAAAACGTGTATCAAAAACATAAGAACAAAGCGATGGGTATAAACGTTAAGCAAGTCTGTAGGTAATTAAAGCATTAAAACAAAGAGTTAAGTCACCTCAGGCAGCAGGAGACCTACAGGGGAGGTTGTTACAGAAGTTCCACCGACCAGTGACACCACACCATTGCAGTCTACTGCGCAGTGCATCTTGCCGTTGGCGGGCAGTATGACCCGTGGCGCCCCGAGGCTGGTCTGGCTGACGGTGCTGCAACGGCGCTCGATGCGGCGCGGCAAGAACAGGGAGCCCCGGCGGCTGTCACTTTCCTCAAAGGTGCTGTGCTCGTCATCAGCGAAATCATTCTCGGAGCCCATGTCACGAGCCCGGCCGCGGAAGCTGAACAGGCTGGCACGGCTGTTCCTCCGAGGTGAGAAGATGGATCCACGAATACTGAGGAGAGACTGAGAAAGAGAGAGGGAGAGGCAGAAAGAGAAAGAGGGGGAAAATGGGGTTAGAGAGTAGGCTAGAGGGAGGTAGAGCCCTGGCATACTTGGGGAAGACTGAAATACTACTTTTAGTGCTGGGTGGTCCTGTGAAACGAGTGAATGACAGGTTAGGAAGGAATGAGACAGAAGCTGAGGAAAGAATAGGGTGATGGAAAAAAGAGGGAAAAAATGACAAATATGCCACATGAATGTAAATCAATGAGCATCATTTTTAGCCAGTTCGCCAGTAGCGAATAATACTCAACATGTAAAGGCCCATTTATACTCCTGCGTAGGGTCTATGCATGCATTTACACATGTACTTAGGTGAAGGATAAGGGTGAATGTACCCTGCGTTTTTAAAGGAATTGTTTTGGGAGACATTTTGGGAGAAGAGTGGCCAGTTTAGTTTAGCTTAGCGCAGAGACTGGAAGCAAGCTGGAAACAGCTAGCCTGGATCAGTCTGAAGGCATCAAATTCTGCCTTCCAGCACCTCGACAGCTGACTAATGAACACAGTATTCTTTTGTTTGTTCAATCTGTACAAAAACCTTTCTGCTAAGCTGAGCTAACCGGCTGCTGGGTCCAGCACAATTATGAAAGTGGTATCCATCTTCTCATTCAGCTCTCAGCACGGAAACAATTTAACGTGTTTCCTAAAATGCTGAACCTTTCCATGTAATTTACAAAATTTTAATTAATATGTACTGTAATAGGGCAACTACTGTAACAGGTGCAATTAAATTTCAACCCTGGTTTTGCATATCTGTGGCTTTAATTATCACTGGTATGAAGGGACATTTTGTTAATGGCCAATGCCAGTCTAATTTAAGCCCCTGAAAAGCTCCATTTATCAGGTATTAATCACTGACAAATCTTATTTGTCAGGAAGTGTTTACCTGATTGGGTGAGGAGCATCTCTTCTCATAAGACAGTCTGTTGGCATCAATGGAGAAACGGAAGCTGGATCTCTTGATGCTGTCCTCGGACTCAGACTTGTGGAACTTGTCATGGGCCCCCCTCTCCTCCTCTTCCTCCCTCTGCTTCCTCTTCTTCCGCCTGTTGCGTCGCTCCTTGGCACTTTTCGAGCTGAGCTTAGACGTCCCTGAGGAGGACTCAGAGGTGAGCCCCCCTCTCCCGCTGTACTCTCCGCTCTCCGTGGCTGCTGCCGCGGCAACCTGCCGGCCAATCACAGCACACAAATACAGTTGTCATGGCGACCCAGTGCCTGTCTCAAAGGCTCTCACAGACTGGAGCGGAGGAGAGAGCCTGGCAGCTGAGAGCAGAACCATGAAGAGCCAAATAAGCCTCAGACACCTTCTAAAAATGGAAGCCTGTTTTTATGCAAACCAAAACATTTCTGTATTCTTGTATTTATAATACTTATTGAGTAAGAGGAAAATTGTGTGGATGCTGGATTAGGTTATGGCCTTTTTGATTAGGAGAGGAAATTCTACTCTTTGAAGCCAGGCAACATTGATCAAATCACTGTATACAACATCAGAAGCACAGAATTCCTTGCATCTTACCTTAAGGAACATGATTTACTAGCACATGCACGGACAGACATACAGAATCAAATTAAGCTTTTTTCACAGAAATGTGTCGTCATCACAAAATGCTTTTGGAAAGCTAGGTTGGGGAATGTTAATGGGAAAAAATTGGTGCTTTAGAAGGAAAAGATTTTCCGTTAAGTTAAAGCATTGCCAAAAATATGAGATCAAATATCAATAAATAATCAAAGAATATAATACACCACTTTTGGATTTGTACACTACCCCTTTTATTATTTATCCTTGTTCTAATGGTGAGAAATGCTTGTGTCCCACAAAACGTATAGCACTATTGAGGTTGTACTACACGGGTCTGTCATGGCAACTACAGCACAACTAATAACAACAATCTGAATGTGCACAAGCCTGATAAGACAGTATTGAGCTTTACAGAATAGCCACTGAAGCTAGCAGAGGTGGAAACAATATAGAAGCATAGACCTTCCACGAGGATGAGATAAGGAGGATACCAGGTGGAATTGTACAAAATGAAATGCAGAGAGAGTGAAAGGGAAAGAAAGCTTTTGGATGTTACCAATCTCTTGTGGGTCACGTATCCCATGATCAGATGAGCTCAAGTCCCCCTTCATTAAACCTACCCTTTATGTTCCACATGTATTCTTTTTTCAATTGATTTTAAGGGGATTTTAACTAACACTGGATATAAGTGAATATTGTTACAGTCATTTTCTGATACACTTAAATTGTCAGAGTTTTGGTCTGTTTGGTACAAGGTACAAGGGAGATTATTATTTTACAACACAAGGGTTGAAGCGTTGTAGTTCCCTTTATGCTTCTCACAAAAACAAACGTTCTACAAAAATATATACAATAGATGGGTGGTAAGTAACAAGTCTCACAGCCACAGTTTCAAGGAATCGAAAACTGTTCACCTGCTCCACCTCAGCCCCACTGACGTAGACTGGAGTGTGTGTCTTTCCCTCTTTTTTCCTAAAATCAATGACCAGCTGGTTTTGCTGACGTCGAGGAGTAGGTTGTTCTCTGTGCACCACCCTCCAAGATTGTTGATTTCCTCCCGACATGAAGCCTGATGGCGGTGTCATTCACAAACTTCACAACAGAGTTCTCTCCATGTCGGGGGATGCAGTCGTGGGAGTACAGCGTGAACAGGAGTGGGCTGAGCACACAGCCCTGGAGGGCTCTGGTGTTGACTAGAGTGGAGGAGGTGGGACCACCAATGCGAAGTGCCTGGGGTCTGTTTGTTATGAAGTCCAATATCCAGTTACAAAGTGTGGTACTCAAGTCCAGCATGCTAAGTTTGCCGATCAGTTTTATGGGGGAGATTGTGTTGAATGCTGAGCTGAAATCAACAAACAGCATTGTGATGTAGGTGTTGTTTTTCTCAAGGTGTGTGAAGACTAAGTGGGGGGCAGTGGAGTTTATTCTGAAAGCAAACTGGTGAGGGGGCAGGGTAATTTGGATGTTGTTCTTTATGTGCTGCAGAACCGGTTTGTCAAAGCACTTCATCAGAAAGGGGTGAGAGCCACAGGGCGGTAGTCGTCTAGACTAGACACTGCAGACTTCTAGGTACAGGGGTGATGGTGGCTGTCTGTAAGCAGGTGGGGGCCCTCTCCTGAGCCCATGTTAAAAATATCAGTAATAACATCAACTAGCTGATTGGCACATTTTTTTAGTACACGACCATGAATGTCATCAGGCCCAGCAGCTTTACTTATATTCACTCTCAGCAGGACTCTTCTGCTGTGGATACTGATAAAATCCAAAAAGCATAATATGACCTCTTTAAACCTTTGACCTTGAATTTTATCTTATGGTATGCAGGATTTGCTTTTATTTGCACACATTTGTAATGTGCTATTTTGAGTACCTTTATATTGCTTGTAACTTCTTATTATGTTATTGTACTGTCTCTTTGGTTTGACCTGCCAAGGCACTAAAGATGCGAATTAGCTTAAAGCTATATTCTCTTATGGTGCATCAAATTGTGACATTTATGTGTTAACTGTACATGGTCCCTTTTAAATTAAATACTTCAAAAATTATATAGAACCTTTTGGCTCTTCTGTTTATCCACTATATTTAGGAAATTCATCTATTTTGACATCTCTGCTTGCTTTTGAATTAGTTTTTATACATTTTCAAAGGCCACATGTGGCTGTATTGGTGTTGCTACTTAGAGTACTCAGGTTGGTGAGAAATGTGTACTGTCAGCTTATTGTCGCTGGTTATTGTTAAATTTGCTAAATCAGCATCACACCAGTTTCCTACTTGGATGTTTGGTTTGATCTTTAACATACGTATATGGATATATTTTAAAACAAATCACAATATAAATTATTTTAATAACTACTCCACAATGTTTTAATGTACCCCCTGGGATGCAAGTAGCCCTGGTTGGGAATCATTGCTGTATATTCCCAATCTGTGACATTAAAAGCCTTATGGGACTGATTTAATCTCCTATTTATATTTACATACATATACACTGGTAAGTATAAATTTCGAAAATCCTGCTGTAGATTTCCCAGATGCAGTCTGAGATGGTGAACATTATCTTGTTACATGCAGCTGTGTGTTACACAAAAATAGGTCTGGCTTTGTCGTCACAAGCTTCAAAATAACTAGTTGGCTGCCCAGGAACACAAGGTAGGTTCTCCTTTCATAATGGGCCTCTCATACAGATGACCTTCAGATTATTGAAAGAACAGGCAGAGCTACAATAAGTAGATTTCCATTATCTAGCATTTCACTTCTGTATGAAGCTCTAACAGAAGTCAGGAAGACTATTCTTTTGCATCCTTAGGCCTGTAGTTTATTTCTCATATCATCCTGCGATTCAGTTCTCTCACGCATGCTCACTCATTATTTCCTTCTGTCATTATCTATGGCTCTCAGTTGTGATATCAGCTGTCTCATCAGCTGGTCACATCTATCCAATACCACAGCGACACACCCACATTGTTAGCTTACCATCATGCCGCTGTCTTTTCAAATATGATTCTCTCTCTGCTTTTAGTACATAGTCCATTACCACCCAGTCTTTGCAGATTCATCAGCCTCATCAGCCTCATCAGCCTCATCAGCCTCATCATTTAATCAACGTCATCAGCCTACTAGCCTCAGCAGAGCCATCAGCAACCACCACATCCAGTGTCTGGACTCTGTTGGCGGATTCATCTTACCCTTACCATCAATTAGCCTACATAAAATCTTCCTGTAGAGTAAGTCCCAAAGACTTTCTGCCAAGACTTAATTATTACTTATCGTTTGTTATGTGAATCTCTACTTCAGTCATTTGTCTTTCCTGATTGAACTGTAGGTCGACCAAGGACTCCTTAAGCCCAGAGGGAGCAGCAGAGGGGTGTTAGTCATCCAGGACAGTGACTCCCTCAGTCCCCTGGGGCTATGCTGCTTTTGGCAGCTTGCTAAAGACTTTAAGCCCAAGAATTATATCAATATCCTCAGTTACATACAAGGAGGTTCTCCCAGCCACTCATCTCTGTTAATAAATACTCTGGCTTTCCTACGTGCTCAACAAGAAATTCAAAGATCCTAAAATGTCCCTTAACAAATTTAAAACATCACTTTCTTTCTTTCCATCACAGCTCAATTAACCTTTTTTTCCCCAATTTATTTTCAAATAAAACGTCTGAGATGAAATGAACATATTTCATTAGACAGACTGGTAGCCTGTAGCTCTATTCTAACATGAATTTGAGAAGACAAAGATGAATATCCTACCTGTGCCTCCTCCTGCTGTCTCTTGAGCTGCTCCAGCATGGCCTGGAACTCCTCCTCCTTCTGCTGAGCCTCCTCGATGGTCGCCTGGTTCTGCTCGTCATAAGCCATGGCAACCACGGCCAAGATCAGGTTGACCAGGTAAAAGGAGCCCAGGAAGATCACCAGCACGAAGAAGACCATGTAAGGTTTTCCCGCCGCGCGTAATGTCTGATGGATCCAAGACCGAGAAGAGAAAAAGTTGTTGTTAGGAATTTATTAGAAAATCAACCTATGTGTGAGAGTAAAAGAAGGGTGCCTGGGATGGATTTTTGCCTTTTCTTTTGTTTGTTGTTGAAATAAATAGCACAATATTTAACAGCTAGTGTCATCCCATTGTTTAATGACTTTTCAAATGTCAAGTTGCTAAATGGTGCTGCCGCAGTACAAAACAGAAGACAAAACAGAAGACAAAACACAAAAAACTTACATAACAGGCCTAGTCTATATTTGCAGAATGGCAGTCCCTTTTGAATTAACTCAATATGTTTGCTTAAATATTTACTTTTGTTATGAACCGAGCCGCTTTCATTTCAGGTTTTTCTTGTTTTGCATTTTTAACACTACAACAAGCAGGCATATTTTGAGATGTGATGTGTTAACCACGCTCTGCCAACCTGCTGGTAGAGGTTTTCCCAGTAGTCCTGGGTCATGAGTCGGAACAGGGAGAGGAATGCCCAGCTGAAGGTGTCGAAGCTGGTGTAGCCATAGTTTGGATTACGGCCGGCTTTGACACATATAAAACCCTCTGGACAGAGCCTGTTAGGACACACAGGTGTTATGAACAATACTTTGCATTAAAGGTACCATGTGTAGTATTTTAAAACAGAGCTTGGGAATTCAGTATAATAACCATAAAATTCAGATTTCTGTATGGCACAAAAATATATAGAAAAAAATATTATTGCAGGTAAGTAAGCCTTTTTTTTTAACACAGGTTAAGTGTTGTACATAATAAGAAGCATATACATAAAATTGCAAGGTTCATACAAAAGAAAAACCTTTAGGTCCACATACAAATGCAACACGACCAGAGAAAGCTTTCAGCAACCAGACACCCCCGAAAAATGTGAAAATGAATGAAGTTTAGCCTAAATTAATAGAGTTATTGTAAGTAGGATTTTAAATGTTTTCAAACAGTCAACAGACTCAGCTGATGTAATGGCAGGAGGAAGTATGTTTCACAGTCTGAGTGCTAGGAGAGCAAAATAATCTGTTTGGCACATGGTACAGCCAACAGGTTTTGGTTCGGTGGTGTAAGGGTTTAGTAGCTCGGAAATGTGATGAACTAGGAGTGATGTGTGATCTACGGTAAAAGCCTAGCTGCTGCATTCTGTAAACGCTGTAGATGTGCCAGGGCAGTTTGACTTCTAAGGCAAGTGAAAAGGGCATTGTTGATGTTAAGACGGAATAAAATGGAGCTATGAATGACGCGTTCAAAGTCAGAAGTCGATAGTAGCCTAATGGTGTGGTTTCTGCAAAGTTTCTGAATTGAAAAAAAAAAGATGATTGAACCAGTTTGTCGACATGGTTTTTGAATTTCAAATGAGGGTCAAATACAGTATACACCAAGATTTCTAGTATGGTTTGACATAGGAGGCAAGTGGGCCAATATACTGGAAAATGCCCTTAGTAACATTTTAAGGGCCAATGATGAGATGCTCAGTTTTGTCAGTTTTGAATAAAGTTTAGTGACATTCAGTCCTTTATAGCAGCTAAACAGTTATGGAGAGTGTCTAGGTTTCTGACATCATCTGGTTCACAAGTTGAGTGTCGCCGGTGTAACAATAGGTGATAGGATATACAGTACAACCAAAGCAACGATTATGAGATGAGAAGCATACACAAAGAGAAAAGAAGGCTGACCCCTAAAGCCCATCTAACGTGTGGATAAAGACACAAATTTCCCCATCGAGGCCGAGAAGCTTCTGTTTGACAAATATGAACCAAACCACTCAGGCGCTTTCCCAACCCATTATGTAGTCTATGGATTAGAATGGAAAATCAATGGGTTAAAATGCTGCACGTCTAGTAGAACTGAGATGGAGTGTTTCCCCTGTCAGCCTGCATGAGGATTTCATGTGCTTTTTGGCAAAAGCCAGGTTGAAATTTGTCAAAAATGTAATTCCTTTCAACAACTTGAAGGAGCTGCTTATCAAACAGTTTTTCCAATATTCTGGAATTAAGAGGTCATTTTGATATAGGTCTAAATGAATGGATCGAGGCCAGGTTTTCTTAAATTGATCAGGGACACAGATATAATATTAAATACAGCAGAGCTGATGACTAGAAAGAGCTCTTTAAAGAATTTGGAGGCTACGATATCAACTTGTCAGGGTGGGCTATTGTGTCTCCACAAATTAGGGGAAACCATTACTCCATCTATTTCCATTCACTTACAATGTGTTCAAATTGTCTACAGACCATCACACAGGAGAGTAATACACACTCATTATTGCCAGATGTCAGTAAAAAATCATGTTTTTAGTTTACAGCCACCCAATCTGAGTCTAAGAAGATTCCTTTCCATCCATTGCTTTTGTTTTTGTTATTATTCTTCCTGTATCAAATTTTATGAGCTAATCTTGTCCAAGTACTTGGAGATAGCCATGTCAGACCGTGATGTGTAGTAAACAGTCCTGGATCACGGCTAAAGCAAGTCCAGTTGCCTGTGTCTTAGCACATCTGATATGTGTTGATGTTGTATCTTATGCTGCATTCCAGGCAACTGGGAATTTCTGGCCTCCAACTACAAAAAGTACCATGGAACGCCACTTGAAGTCGCATTTCCTACTAGAAAATTGTATCCCGACTTCACGAGTAGCAGCCGAATGGCGTCACACAACAATGCCAGCTCCCATGGAAGCACACATACAACATAAACTAAAAGGCAACATAAAGTACATTTCCATGTATTTAAATAATTCATGCTATCTTATAGTAAAACCTGTTCTGCATGTAAATTGATGTAGAAATGTTTTGCCAATGTTATTAGGTAGCTGATTGCAGTAAAGAATCTCTGAAAGTCATCTTCTCTTCACAAGAGTTATTCACTAAAACGTTAAAAATGCCCAGAAATGTGAAAGCATTTGGAAATATAGCCTACAACTTCTGCTGAATTTTGAGGATTACCAACTGATGTAGCTAGAAGGATACACAGTTAACAAGTAACGTATATTTATCACTTGTTTTTAATACAATGGCCATCCTTTAAATTAGCCTAACATCAGTGCAATGCTGGGGGTTTAACTGTGCATAAACTTGCCAAAGAAACATCAGTTGGTCAGCCATGTTGATTGTTTACATTTGGTGTCATGCATCACCATGCAACTGAAACGCTTTGAGGTTGGAAGTCGGAAGTTTAAACTGGGAAATATCCCAGTTCCAGTAGGTCTCGTAGGCGGCATTACACACAATTTGGGCCTGTGACATCATCAGCCTCATTGATGCAACTAACCTATCGGCCTCTAGCTGACAAAACTAAAGGAAAACTGAAAGCTTGAAACTGTCACAATGTCTGTGTACCTTTTAGGATGGAATACGCAGCTTTAATAAATGGCTTACATATCAACTGAAATCAATCCAATAACAACAAAAATAGTTTCAACCCTTGCCAAAACACATGAAATTAAATGCACCTACGGTTTAACCAGTATTTTAGATGCCTGTGATGCTTTGGCACAGTGGCGAGTGTCGACACTAATTGTGTGTGCTCAGCTTTGTAGCGCATCTAACTGGCCATATAAATAAAACATGTCATGCCTTACCCAGCACCACTGCCATTTCCACAGAGCAGAGCATCCCTGCTGCCAGGGAGGAAATAGTGATTACCTAGAGGAGAGGAGAGACAGAGGGGACGGTCAGTCAGAGCCACATCAAGGGGGTTAAACAGGGGATATGAAGAAACAGAAAGATCGATGAGGGAACAGGAAGACAATATGCACCCTGTGGATTTCAGTTTTTGAGTGGCATACAGTGGCTGGGAGAAAGTGGTGATTTTGTTGTTTAAACACCCAACCACATTAGTCATCCCGTGTGTGTGCGTGAGACATGAGCACATGTGACTGTTGAAGCTGTCACGGTCACTCTGTCCACTCTGTATCTACCACTTAACTGTCACTAAATAACAATCAAATCAGATCATTTTAGGGGCAAACGTAGTCTATGATGCAATTAAGATGCCAGACTTTAAAACAATTTTAATCATCTCTGTCTCTCTCTTCTTCTTCTCATCTTGCTCTGGCATCAGCTTGTCATGTAGCTGGTGCACGTCTCCTCGATATCCTGCTGGCGGTCAGTGACTCACCCTCCTCTAGCACTAAGCTGCTCATGCCACACAGATGGGCTATGGGAGAATGATGAAGGGTAGCGAGGGGGTGAAAGTAGAGGGTTTTATTGTTGTGGCGATTATCCACAACATTTGCTGCATTCTCCCACCAGCCCTTGTTAGAGAGCGCAGCCACTGCTCCCAGCCATTGCTGTCACTCCTTATCACGGCAGCAGGCTAGCATGCCTGACCTCCCCCACACAACCACCACCACCACCACCCCCCTGACCCATCTCTGCATATGAAGTAACCGGTATCTGACTCAGGCCGTCTGGGATGGATGCTAACTTGACCCTGGTTAACCCCTATGTGCGCCTGGCAGACATGTAACAGCACTTTCACACCGCCTCACTGGGCTTACTCTCGTCACTGATGTACTCTGTCCAGTTGAAGGAGTTCTCTTCGGTGTTCTGCAGAAACGTGGTGTTGATTTCCAGCGGGGTGTTGTTGAAAAACATTGCGTCGTCAGTCGTGATGTTGCTGCTGTTGCTGACGATTCGCACGCACTTTTGCCTCAGGTTGCCCATGAAGAGCTGCAAGCCGATGAGGGCGAATACGCTGAGGCAGAACACAGTGAGGATCATGACGTCCGACAGCTTTTTTACCGACTGGATCAGTGCGCCAACAATGGTCTTCAAGCCTAAACAGGAGAGAGGGCAAGGGGGCGGGAGGGGTGCATTGCAGAATGATTACTGCCTACTAATTAAAGCCACACGCTTGTATAGAGAAGAAGCTGCTACTAAGAGCTTACAGTAGCAAAGCAGCTAGGGGGATCTGCAGTGGAGGTTCCTGTATGAACTGTTGTCATAAAGGAACCAGGCTGACACAGATCACTACTGAGAAAGGATGAATCACTAGAGAAAGCTACGATATTGGTCTCTGGACTGCTATGCTCTCCAGCCAGTTACTTTACTGGTCTCATACCTTTCTCATGCAGCTGGTGGTGGAGCATGAGGAAAATGGGTGATCAAACATAGACAAAAGTCCACATCAGCTTCTTCAAGTCAGAAAATAATGTTGTTTGGAAGGTTCAGGGGGGCAATATGTGAACATGTGATGTGTAATTTGTGTTCATATTTTTTGTGTGTAATGTTGCATTTAGCTGTTTTCACTGTTTTGAAACTGCTGCAGAATTTCATCAAGTATTTAGTTTGTTCTTGCTGATGGAACCAACAACTTAATAAAGGATTAGTTCAACATTTTGGGAAATGCTTTCATGCTGAGAATTTGACGCCACTTACATGGCTGTACAAGCAAGCAAATGTTTATCTTAGATTAGCTTAGCATTAAGGCTGGAAGCCTTACCGCTGATGTACTGCGTCATCAGTCAATAATACAGTGTATTTTGTTTGTTTAATTTGTACATAAGCCGAAATGTCAAAATGGTCAAAAAAGCTTATGGTTTGGTATCTTGAAATTGTGGTTTTTGTCCAGATTAAACAAATTGGATACAACATGTAAATTGTCAGCTTTAGAGGTGCTGGAAAGTGCATTTTTAAACTTCTGACAGAGCCAGGCTAGCTGTTTCATCTGCTTCCAGTCTCTATGCTATGCTAAGCTAATCACTTTAGTTTGCAGACATGATAGTCTCTCCACAAGGCAGTAAGCCTATTTCAAAAAATGCCGAACTATTTCTTTCACACAGTGTTGCAGTGTGGAAAACAAATCAGGTCTTCAGATGTCAATGCTCAACATTAAAGACCCAATTTTAACCAAAACATAACTCTTGTTTCACCATTTCCCCCACCTTTGTGCCATGTACACTATGCTCTACACATAAATATCATGAAGTGAACGGCAAAAGGCATTTCAAGGTCAGGAAAATACCAACATGTGCTAGCACTGCTTGTACTAGGCTTATAATAGAGCTCAAAATGTTTAAAGTGGGTCCAAATGTAGATGTGACAGCTAGAATAAGTAATGCATATTGTGACCTTTGTGTTAGTTTGAGATGTGAATAGTTTTAGTGTTTGGAATACCGTCACCCAACCACCATTCACCATATCACAATTTCTCCAAAAACACACAACATTGAACAAGACATGCACAGGAAAACAAGGTAAGGAGGAACCCTACACACACAAGTGCTTGCCACCAGAAAATCGGCTTTTGCAATGTCTCATGCAAAAAGGAAAAACAAATAAGTAAGTCTCCCAAGGCAAGAATAGATTTCAACCAAAAAGAATTCTGCCTTAAAGGATGTATCTAAAAGCTATGAATCCTGTCAATCTGTGCAGATTGGAGCCAGATTCCAGCTTTTACTAGCCTTGGGACGAAGGCAGCATGAGGGACGGCGATGAGCGTCATTACGCTTAGCTAGAGTGAGATGAGCTGAGAGGGGGCGGGAAGGGTGCTTGAATGTTAGCTGTTAGCATTTCATTAACCCTATGGGCCTTGATGGCTCTCTCACCTGGGATGACTGATATAGTTTTCAGGGCTCGCAGAACCCTGAAGGTTCGCAGTGCTGAGACATTGCCCAGGTCCACAAACTCTGTGACATATCTGTAAGGGAAGGGAACGGAGGGGGAGGAGGAAGGAGGGAGGGTGGGAGTCGGGTAGAGGGGCATTTCGGAAAAAGGGGACACACACACACGTACACGCGCACACACAAATCAGGCAATCACGCACATGGCATGACAAGACAAAAGGAGGGTCGTGGGGAGGGCAGGGGAGAGGAGGGAACGGCAAACTGTCACACACAGAGGACAAATGGCAGGAGTGCTGGCAGCAGACGCGGGCAGCCTTACCTGGTATTACTGAGATAGTTTTCAAAGCTCGCAATACTCTGAACGTGCGCAGAGCTGAAACATTGCCTAGGTTTACAAACTCTGTTATATACCTGCAGGATCAAATGCACAGTTACTACACAGCATTACACAGTCAGAAACCCAATACACGTGCACAGACATCTGAGAAATAAAAAACACCTCTCATAACAGCATCATGAATTCATCTCTCAGGCAAAAAAGGGTCGCAGTGTTATTATATTATGTGATCAGTGAGTAATCCTTCGGAGCAACAAATACTATGAACACAAAAAAATCAGCCAACATTCACTACGTAACCTAATGCTGACGGCTTTATTTTGTAGTTTCAAGACTAGTAGCTGGAGTTATTGAAGCGTGGGACAAATATGGGCCAAGATACTCCATGCTTTGGGGGCTCACATCCATTATGACCAAAGCTGATATTTCTGGCCATGCTCACAAGACGTAGACGAATTAGCTGCAGATTATCATGCCCCTCTTCATTTTCTGTTCTTCTCCTCACATTCAGTGGGACTTAATAGGCTGCTGGGCTGATTTGCATTTAAAGCATTTGGCCTCTTAATTTATGCCAGATCATGTTAAGCTGATCCTAACTATGCTTGTCAGGATACTTACGCCATGAGGATAACACTGAAATCCAGCCAGTTCCACGGGTCCCGCAGGAAAGTGAACTTCCCCACACAGAAGCCCCTGGCCAGGATCTTTATAAGGGACTCGAAGGTGTAAATCCCTGTGAATGTGTACCTGGTGAACAAGGTGAGGAAGAGGGGAAGTGCAAGGAGAGAGGAGGACAAGGCACGCAGAGAGAGATAATGATGTTGGTTAGCGGCTCCATTGCTCAGAGGCAAGGTGACAGACCCATGCAGCGCAGCACTAGATTTTCACATGACCCATTACGAAAATGGATGACTAATGAGAGGACACAGTCTGTATGACTGTGTCCTCTCATTAGTCATCCATTTTCGTAATGGGATTCTTGATTATCACATTATCTCCAAATGTTGCTGTAGTGTGTACTGATCCACTTTGTCAGACAGTTCAGTTTGCTTTACTGCATTTGCGAGTTCACAATTACATTTCTTCTAAAATAAAGTTTAATGCTATCTAATGTTTTTGTCACTCTTTTTGTTTTTCCCTTTTGTATTTGGGATAAACATGCTGAGTTTTGGAACTACAGTTCCCATCATGCTCTGGTGGATTAAGGCAGTTAGTGTTATGTTGCCAAAGAGTCATTGGCTTATGCCGCTCATGTTGTACCGGAGTTATCATTATCACAAATGTCCAACTTGTAAATAGCTTTTTCATCAACATTCAAGTCGAAAATTCGACTGGGAATTTCTCTGAAAGCTCCAAAACATCCGACTTGGCACTTAATAATACAAAAGAGGCTGAAAACCGAACAAACATGGACGCCTCACATCAGTCAAAGTCTGTGGTTCATAGTAATTAAACACAAATTGAATGGATATGGTGACATTTGGTCACTGCACAGTTTCTTAAGCCTCACAGGACCATCTCTGGGAATCTTTCCTATCTGACACATCCTGTATGACATGAACACTGCATATGCATGAAATTACTCCCTACCCCCTACCTAGAACTATACTTACACTCTGCACTTTTCTTATTTGAGTGTCCAAAATCTGAGTCTAAAATGTATGCACTACATAGAGCCCTCCACACAGCCTTCCACAATGGAGCAATATAAAGCAGTCTCAGTGACTAAGAATTCCATAATGCAATGCGGAACATTTTATAGAGACAAAAATGACAAGTCGACAGACCGACACTATACCTGATGACTCCAAATAATGATCATTCATAAGTGTCTCAAATCTCACTTTACTGCTCATTAAAGAGTCAACTGATGTCTGTACAGGGAGTAGTGAATGAATAAACAACGGAGTGATCTCTGACACACTGACTCATTTAGATTTTTACAATTTTACATCATGGAAAGACATATTGCATTAGCTATTAGCAGATCTTGTTTTCACTTTAACAGTGGATGCACAGACAGCAACCAGTTGATTACTTCTGATACTGAAGATAACGTCTAAACAAGAGAATTATTAGGCAAGGTGTGTCTTCTCTAAGCTGATTTGAGTATGCTTATCCACGACCGGACATCAGACATGCTGTTATCTCTATATGTGTAGGTTGTGTGTGATTTCAGTGTGTGTGTAACATGTATTTGTGTGAAGAAGAAGAACAGTTGTGGTTTTTGATGAAAATTGGAATCAGGTTCAATACGGGTAAATCAATATGTCAATGTAAAACCAAAAGATAACCTGTTTTACAGACGTAAATGAGAAAAAATGGTTACTTACTCTACATTCTTGGCCCATTCTGGGGGATTACTCAGGGTCATGAAAGCACAGTTGGTCAGGATGGTGAACATGATCAACATGCTGAACATCGTAGAGACGAAGTCAAGGAACACAATGGAACATTTGTGTTTTTGAGCATAATTTTCTGTACTCATACATGCATGATGTATGACACACTAGCACATTTCCCCATGCATAAATGCGACAGTATGTATACGTGTTTCCATTCACTCAGCAGCAGTAAAGCCTGATGCATGCCTACAAAGAAAGTCTAAACCAATCATGACATTTAGTCTTCAACATCAGCACATTAAAATCCCTCTTTTCTCTGATAAACTCTTTAATCCAAATCAAGCCGTGTCCGTAGCAAACTCTGAAAAGGATATGAATGTACTAAAACTCTAATAGCTATCCTCCTTACAGGGTTGAAGGAGCTTATCATGTACAAGGCAGGATTGGCGTTGAAACGGAAGATTGTCTTCCCACGATTCAATACTATGAAGGTCTGAAAGAGAGACAGAACAAAATTCATTAAAAACTGTATCACACAAAGCCTTGTTTCATCCCTGCTCATCTTCTCTGTGTTATATTTGAGAGATGCGGCACACAGAGGAGATATAAAACAGCACTGAACAGACATTTCATGAATCCACATGTGTTATTTTGTGTCTTATAGTGTCTGCTCATCGTGCCTGCTTGATTAGTCATAACAGCAAAGAGGATTAGTATTATTAGTCATAACAGCAGAGAGGAGTAGGCTGCCCTCTCTGTTCAGCTTCTGCTCAGGGTCTGGGTTATTATAATGAAGCAGGATGAGTCTTCAGGCAGGACATGTTGGCAAAGCAGTTCAACTGGCACAACAGCTCAGATTAGCATTTAGCACCTCTGTTGGCACATGCTTTAAGGGTTCTGACTTGGCTGAGCACATGTTGTAGCTGTTGCCAGTGGTGGAAGAAATATTCAGATCCTTTAGTTAAGTAAAAGTAAAACAATGTAAGCATACTCTGTTCCAAGGTCTTAATTCAAGCTTAGAGGGATAGTTTAACATTTTGCAAAATACACTTATTCGCTTTGTTGCCGAATGTTAGATAAGAGGATCGATGCGAGCAGCCAGTTAGCTTAGCTTAGCATAACAAATGGAGCTAGGGGAAACAGTTTAGTCCAACTTTAATAAAGAGAAAAAGTGTAAAGAAGCATAAAAAAAATACTCAAGTACATTAACTCAAAAGTACAGAAGTTGAGTAATTACGTCCATGAAACACATGAATGGTAGTGACCATGATTACAAAAGACTTCGCTGCACTCTAACCTTTGATTTAAATGAATCTGCCTACACTGAAAGATAGGAAGTTAATTTATTCAGTTATCTTTCTTCAGCAAGTTGTCTTACGTGGGAGGAAATTGCTACATCTGCCCATGTGTTTCCTTAAAATAGTTTGCTAAGAGCATCTGGCAATTAACTTCAAGCTTTTGAAAAGCTTCGACTAAAAAGTACAAACCTGTAATGTATCACAATTCAGTGCTTGAGTCATACCGTAATTGAAAGCTAAATTAGTACACATAATTATGCTTTAAGGCCAGCACAGAAAAGAGCATGTCTTAAAAGAATCCATTCACATTAGTGTTAATATTTTCCTTTGATAAGTTGGACTATTGAACTGATAACCTTTAAACGGACCTTCTGATTGCTGTAGTAGGGGTCAATGTCCTCCAGAGGGGTGGACACCAAATGGGGAGGGATGTCCCCGTAGATGAAGGGGAGAGACTTCCCCGCCTCCAGGTCACTGTTGGGCTTGGGCCCATTTTCATCGTCGCTGTCGTTGCGGCGCTCCGACCGCGGTCTCCGGGCCTCCTCCTCGGCGATTCGCCTCTCGATGGCGGCCAACGACTCGGGGACGAAGGGGCAGAAGCTGTCAGGTCCGGGCGGTACAAGCAGCTGTGCCATCTTGTCATCCTGCTCCTTCAGAGGGCAGCGAGGGGCTCAGCTGGGGCAGGGAGCTGCAACGAGAAGGGAATAAGGGAGGGAAACGGGTCAGGAGTCATGGCTAGAAAATCATTGCTACATTCACTTCCTGCTGTAAGAAATCTGGAAACCCTACCTGGATAATTTAGAGAGCACATTTCTGTAAATGTGCTGTTGTGTCTGAATAAAGCCGTAAGAAACATTTACTTAAAGTGGTGGATTTTAAAACTTATTTTGTTTTAGTTGAGCATTAGAGAGATTAGAGTGATCTTCATCAGGCAAACACAACTTACATTTAATAATAATAATTTTAAAAACTATTTATATAGCACCTTTCATACAGATGGACCTTAAGTACATTAAAAATCAAAACAACAAATCAAATGTTTTCACAATTAATCATCTTTCAATGTCTCTTTGTTTATGTAACCTTGTGCTGCTGCTCTTTACTTAAATCTGTTTACATGAGACCAACATGTTAAATTGCCATCACATTCATTAAGGAGGCAAATATAATAATGCTCCAAGGTCACTTATGAGACAAGCATACAGCCACTAAGGAAATTATATAGAGGAGTAAAACATAAAGAGAGCACATATCACATTAAAATGTTTCTGAGTGACTACTACCAATTTGATCTCCTTAATGTATATCACAAGCGTGTGACTTTTCTAGTTGTATAACCGATGACTGATCACAAGAATTTAAATCAGAGCCATCATGTGGACAAATCACAAGACTAATTTATGAATCTGCTTTTATGTTGCTTTGAGTTTGGAGGCAAACCACCTGTCTGCTTAAAGGCACACTGCTTCTACACTTTGGAGGAGAACAAACATCGTGTCGTGTGTCACGCTGATGTCTGGGTAGAGTGTTTTAATGACCGAGGGGCAGGGTCACAGGTAGGGTGGAGGCTTTAGAGAGGGAATAAACAGCGGCTCTGACGTTGGTGGCAAGCCCTCAGCTGATTCACAGGGACACAGAAATAGCCAGCACCAACTGAGGTGGACAGCGTGAGAAAAAGACAAGCAAATGACTCTCTCAAGAGAACACAATCTTGCCACTTTCCACCGTTTAATGCTCCGTCTAAATCTATTTATTGCTGCATTTAGCTTCATGGAGAAAGTGGTTTCTGGATAGGCCGTGCTGTCGTTTATCGCATAATTAACTGGTGGATGGCCTCAAATTAGTAAAAAATTAACTGTTTTAGCTTTCAGCAGAAAAAATGCAGTTGACAGCAATTATTAATTTTTTTCCCCCTACACCAATCAGCACCAACACCGGATTCCCCCCTGTGGAACACCCTTCACACCCAGAAGCCCATCATGTTCCCGCAGGGAATAGAGGCAAGGCACACAAACAAGATCTTCCCAAAAAACCCTTGAGCCATTATCAGTGCATCCTCGGTGCCTCCCACTCTCTGCAGTCTCACAGTCTCATTCCTTGTGGGACAAACGTATACTGGCCCAGAAAACAGGAACCTGGGCTCTGGCTGATGTCTACTTGAGCTTTTTCCAAATGGAAATGAACGAACAGAGACCTCCTCAGCCCACCACAGCCTATTTTTCTTTGTATTTTAAAAAGCAGGGGTAGAGCAAGGGACAATTTTAAGCTATTTTGACATTCAACCCTGTGTCTCAGAAGCAAGCAACCAAGGGAAAGTCTGGAACACAGTGTCATCCGTTATCTAAATATGAGTTTTACCGGTTTTAGACTGTATGTGTCACACCTAACAATGTCACACCATACCTAAACTAATTCACAAACTCTCTTTTTACACATCTCTGCCACCAGACTTCCTTTCCTGACCACGTGGAAGTGGGAAGTCAATAAATGTGACCTCACCATCGATAACAGTGGGTGAAGTTCATTCTTGATTTCATTTAAAAAATAATCTTCTCTGAATGAAATAATGAAACATCAAGTGATATAAAAGCAGGTTGTTATCCATAGAATCCTCCAGTAAAATGTTCCCACGTATACAGCAATATTTCGCAGAGCAAAATTGACAAGAGGCCTTTTGGAAAATCCAATTTTTTGCTTTCTTACTGTCAGTTAAGAGGAAATCAATACCACTCTCATGTCTGCAGAATAAATATGAAGTCAAAGCCAGCTGCCGGTTTGCCTAGATGAGCATAAAAACTGGGAAAAGGGGGAAACAGCTAGCATGGCTCCGAACGTAAGAAAACAAAAACTCTAAAGCTCACTAATTTAAACGTTACATCTTGTTTGTTTCACTTACATAGCCAGGCTAGTTTTCATGCCCCTGCTTCCAGTATTAATGCTAAGCTAAGCTAACCACCTGCTGGCTGTAGCTTCATAACAAAGTGACAAATATGAGAGTGATATCGATCTTTTCATCTAACACTCGGAGAGATACTAAATATTCTAAAAATTCACTTTAAAGCCTAGTAACCCATTAGACGCCTGTCCCTTTTACTAGTCTGGTGTAGCTATAGTTTTGACAAATAAACATAGTTTTGACAAACGCATTAAACTCAATTAGAAGACTTGTCTGGGTTTTGTAGAAGTTCTCTGGATGTTTAAAACCTCTTAAGGGCAGCGGGTCACCTGCTTGAGCTGGTTCTTAGCTGCTTAGATCGTGCATACCAATTTAAATGTTTAAACTTTTGTCAAAATGGACATGCTATAAACCTTTTGATTGTTTAGATTCTAAAACATTCAACTGTTTAGTTCATTTTATGGAAACAATGAGCACCAGCCTAATTTATTCAGATTCACTGGCATGGTAATGAAATCAAAGGTCTTTCCTAAATATAGGCAGGATGTTGAAGTGAAGCAAATAAAAGCCCAGGCTATTCATTTAAGTTTTACGGTAAGCATATTCCAATTGATCCAAAATGTCAAACTATCCCTTGAAATTCCCCTGTGTTAGAGTTAATTTTTGATTTTAACATTTGCAACAAAAAAGATTACATACTTGTTACTACTTTTAAGCTAACACGGACGAGAAGTTTAAACATCTGTCCATGATGAGGACTGTGTCTTACGGTCCAAAGCTAGCAAAGAAGCTGGTATGAAAAAAGCGAGTATGGGGAGCTAAAATGGCTTTGTCAAAATTTGCATTACAGTTTTGCAACATAATCAAGTCTTTGAGGGGACAAATAACTAAAATTTAAAACACTATCACAAACCTTTTGTCCTAAAAACAACCATGTATTTTTATGCAATAACACGCATGACAAAACATTACATTTTAACCCTTTCTTGATGATAATCTTGGTGATATGGCTCATAAATTACGGTCATCAAAGCGAAACATCCATAATTACTGGACTGGAGACTTATTAAAAAGCCACAGTAGCCATCAAATGTGTTTCTAAGAATGCATCAGGCATAAACTGGGAATTAACTGTAGCTTCTCCCATAGGGGCATCTCATACCACAGCACATCTGCTTGTTTCCAAAAGACTGCCCCGGGACCCAGTGTTGTGATGTGTGGCCTGACAACCTGTCTAGCATGAGCTGCTGGGTGGTGGTGCTGGTGGGGTGGGGGGAAGGTTGTGAGGCCAGATCGACCACATAGGCCCAATATCCACACCCACCTCTGAGCTCAGCTATCACCGTGGTCATCCCTGGGTCGAATATAAGATGACAGACTGAAAACATGTAGGGACGGCAGACATTTCTGCACTTATGTATCCTGGCACTGAAAGGGATCACGGCATCTATGAAATCAGAAGCAATCTGGTTCACACGTAGGCAGCCTTAAGCGTTCCACATGGATACCGCGCTTTTTAAAAAATCATTCGCTATTTCAAGGGTTATCTGTGAATTTCAAGCGTTTTTTGCACACTTACATCGATGCTAAGAGATGAAAAGCCTTTGGAAAATGGAGAATAATTGATCTCAGTCTTTTTCTCTAATGGCCACAACATAAGATAACATTCACAACCTTCTAAATTATGACATGAAACCATGATGGAAGGCCTCTATCATGCTCTTGTTAGCAGTTTCCATTGTAATACAACACTCACATGTCCAAATGTGCTATTAAACTTCCTGATGCAATGTCGACAGTACTACTGTTAAAAAAAAAAGCCACCACCAGGCTTCAGAAATCTGAATTAAACAAATAAAGTGTGTATCTTTCAAAGTTACTGCCTTACTAGTACATGATGTTTCACTGTCCATGATGCTAAATGAGACAAGAAGCAACACACCAGTGACGACCTACACCCAGTGTATCAGACATTTTGTTAAACAACAAAAACAATATCTCTAGAGTGTTCTTTGGCTAGACATTTGCCCTCTGCTGGCTAAATCTACCTGAGTTACCCACATTTCATCTGAATGACTTCAATTTCAGCTGGCACGGTGTCAAAAGGGCGCTGCTGTCCATGGTGCTTAAAGAGAGAAGCGCACAGAAAACAGACAACAAATGGAAACCTACATGATACCTGAGAGGTATGTGAATGTGTTTAACTACAGTTACACAAATGTGCCTGTAATATTCATACACAGAGGCGTCTCTACAGCGAGATTATCGTCACCTTAAAGCACTTTGAGGACGTTTTTTTCATCTCCTGTGGCAGCTGGCCTAACGTTACCTCTAACAGGCTGAAGGTAACAGACATATTTCTATGGTATTTTTTTTAGGACTGCTGTATTGATTTCCTTACCAACTCAGAGCTACAGAGGCTGACATGAAAGTATGTGGATGGACGTAGCTTGCAAGGCTAATTAGAAATCAGAGAAAAAGACACAGGCTGGTGTCTGACTGTACCTTAATTGTCGCGGTTTCAAAACGAGCCGAAGGGGCCGCGGCAGCTGTCGCCATGTTGATGATGCCTCCGCGTTATCTCCATCACTTCAAAAACTGACACTTCTCGCCACATTTGCCACAGACGAGAGCTTCCCGAATCAGCCGCGACCGTCACGTCCATCCCCTCCCTGCCCCCCCCACCTCCCACCTCGCCCCAGATACACCAGCACCAGCACGACGACAAGGAACAACAAGAGAGCGACCGACCGAGGTTGAGGTTTTCAGTCGCTTCAGCGGTCATGGAAACCAGTGGTGACCAAACTGGAGTCCAGGAGGGGGGGGGGGGGCATCTGTGGCCCCTAAACTGTGGTTGAAATGGCTTCAAGCAAAACCAGGGCACCAGAGAGCTTTAAATGAACTAATTTATCCTTCTTGAACTACTTGTTTTCTCCACACTTCCATATGGCATATATTAACACACAATTAAACCCTGAAATGGGGTTAAAATCTTGGGACGTAAAGAAATGGGACCTAAAGACTATAAGCGTAGCCTCACTGATGTGCAAAGGCTCACAAGTCCTACCATGAATGGGTCTGAATGAGTCTGGGCGTGTCCTTGCCAGATGTGTCTGTTGCTTGCAATCAATCCCCTATACAGAGAGCAACTGGTTTACCAAAAATAGCAATAGACCTTTGTTGTTGTTTTTTTCTGCTTACATATGAAACATCTTTAAATGTCGGTCCTTCTCGCGTCACATGTTACGAATAGGGAGCATTTTCACACCAAATAGGCCCGAAGATATGTGGACTATAGGCTATTGCCCTCCCAGCACGTCTGGACTTGCTTATTTGAAGCCTATTTTGTTTGTCACGACAACGAGGCTATATGCTACATTTTATTTGAATTAATGTGCACCTCATGCTCAGACAGTCCATAACTGGGCTATAATAAGGCAATTAAAAAACACCCTCTGTCAAATGGTAGACTACGTGAACTGAAGACTAAATTTCTGCATAATTAAATAAATCTTTTGCATGGAAAAATAGACTATATAAGGATGCGGTTCTATAGGCTTATTAAAGATAAAGATAAAGATAAAACATAGGCCTATTTCAAAATCCTCATAGCTGAGGTTGTTGCAAATGACATCATATTGATTAAGTTCTATTGTCTCGGCAAAGAAATAACATCCGAATAACCTTGTGAAAGTAAACTGTCACGGCTAAAGAGGCTGAGAGACCCTTCTACAAAGATATGGATACTCACCACCATTACGGTGCCCAGCAGGTGGGGACCCTGAAGGTAGATCCCATATCCGAAAGAATAATCCTCTATTTAAGCGGATAGCTTGTCAACTTGAGGTTTAAACGCTTGTCTCCTTTTGTGAATTCCCGTTCGAGGGTTGATGGATTATCATTTAATAAGCGCTCCTTTGATTTTTTTTTTTTTTTTTTTTTTAGCCGTCCTTGCTTGCCACAGAGAAATCAATCCGCGCTTCCGGTTGGTTAGGCTTCGCAGACTGGGAATGAATGTCCTTAAAGCTGTGACTGTCACAAGATGGCCTGAAAATATCAAAGTCACAAGTGAAGGAGAGCAACCTGTTGTTAGAAGACAACGTAAAATGACATGAATTTGTTTTTTTAAGGAGGCTACAAGGCAAAGGATAAAGTAATACTTTATTTTTCTTTGTTTTATTTTGGTAGCTGTCTATTTATGACAGCCTTAAGGTTATCATTCTTCTTATTTGCCATGAAACATTGTTTTTAATTCATTGTTAAGTAAAAGTTGCCTCATTTCTAATAAATCAATATTACACAACACACACACAAAACACTTTTCAATTGTTTTCAGCAAATATGAAATACTGGCAACAAAACTTGAGGTAGGTGCGCAGCACAACAATCCTGATAATAGGCTACTGTCTATTTTAGAAGATGAATGTAATATATTTGTCTTTACTGATTCCAAGACCACATAGTTTATTAAGATGTTGCATATTTGTTCCACGCCACATCTATCGTCATTGATCTGATATTGGTGGGGTCAGAGGGTTGGAGGCTGCAGTTACAGATTCTTTTTTTAACGCGAAAGGTGAAATGTATAAACTTATAATGATTTTGCAGACAGAGGTGGAGACCAACGTGTCAGGAAGCTGGCACGTGCGTGCTAACGTGGAGACCTCACTGGGTGACAGACATCAGTGTACTGGACTCCCTCTGCATGTTTCTTGAAAATGCATGCCATCTGCTGGACACTTGGTAAAATTACATCCAAACACGGTTACATAACGCCTATATTACAAAATAAAGTTGTTTCTCTTTTGTAGCCTAGTTAGTAGTTAAATGGAGCTCCTTTGAAACTATCATAGTCACAGTAGTTTGTTGGAAGCACCAAGGTGTACAAACTATAACCTGTGATATATGGGAACACATAACAACACATTAAACAACTTTAATGCTAAAACTTAAATTTCATAATATATGGTTTGCATGGAAGTATTGATTTTGGAAATACAAAACAGTGTAAACTTCATCCCATCAAAGAGTCACAATCAGTAGGTGGACACACCCAAATTAAGCTCCATGTAGCATGTCACTCTCACATGGGTGCACGCAGTTTCACTTCACCGTGTGAACATAACTGAAAACGCCTAATCTTGTTTTGCTAATGCATAGTGAATTTCTATTGTTTATCTTCTTTTTTATATATTAGAAATCCATGTCTTACGACAGCCAATGGTATAATTTCCAAAGGTGATGGGGGACTTGTCACCCTAACATTCAAATTAAAATTTGTATCCTATTTTAACAGTTTCAGGTTGATTTACTTGTTAAAATCTCTCTTAACATAGTCCTCTGACTGTCCAGCAGCCCAAATCCACATGAGAGCAGATAATAGCTGATCAAAGCCCTGGTACTCTCATCTGAGTTGTCTTCTTTGAAGTGCTCACAGCATTATTAAGCTTTGTGAGTGTGATGCGTCAGGCACTTGGTGGACTTCTCCCCTCTCTGAGTTTTGCCTCTTACATCATACCCCTCCAATCAGATTGTCTGACACTCCTCACAGAGTCACAGCCAGCAGAGGTGGACAGACCCTCCATGTGGCATGTTACTCTCACATGGGTGCACGCACTTTCACTTCACTATGTGAACATAACTGAAAACTCCTTTAAACACACTTTTACAAGCATGCCTTGTGATGTCTGACATTCTGATTGGGGGAGCTTGGGGTAAGTGGCAAGGCAAAAAAAAGTTCAACAAGCGCTTGACGCCACTCATGAATCTTTATTGCTGTGACCACATAGTAGAAGGCATGAACACAGGTTGACACAAAGACCCGTAGACGCACTCAGGACAAAAAATATATAATTTACAGCCAATGCAGAAAAAGACTACAAATATGTTTCAGTTTTTGCATTCGTTATATATTTAATAGTTATCATATTATTTTTTGGTTAAACATGCAAATACAGTATTATCAAACTTAATAATCTACTAGTAAAACTAAATATGCAGTAATTGTCACAGTTAATGCACTAATAATACAGACATTTACTAAAGTATACTACTACTATTTAGGCCACATTTCTAATTCTTGAAAACCAGATTCTATATGTTTTATAGGTTAATATAAGTGTCTTTAATCAATGTTTTTTTATTGAATTCATCTACATCTATGACAGTTATACAAAGCATTTTAGCAAATTGGTCCTTGTAATTGTATAGCAGCAAATTAAACCTTCAAACACACAGTGGTTTTGACAGTCAACACAGATCGTACACACTTGATTTAATGTGTGTATACAACACGCCTAACTCTGTGAGGACATCACTTAAACGTATAAAACAGATCAACGAATAGCAGAATTCAAAATAGTGCTAAGAGCTCATGGAGAGCTTCCATATATACAGTTTCCCTGGTGTTTCCAAAGCTGAGTTCACAGTTTTCCCTCTTTCCTTTCAGCTCCCTGTGACTTTGCTGCATGTTTCATTAGGAGCATAGTGATGAATTTGGAACCCCGTGTTCAAACATTGGGCTCTCAGAGTTAGGCTTCGATTTGGCTTTGTCGCTTTAAATAACACTCCAAATTAGCCTTCTGCTGCTAGCTGTGCCCCAGTTAGATGCCTGTGTTACAGTAAATCTGTAAAACAGAGAAAACAAAGACAGTTCATGAGTTTGTGTACTCACAGAGATGGACTTGCATACATGTGCACACATTTTAAGACTGACAAACAGAAAATACTGTAGGTCAAGTGGTACACATTCTGTACACTGCTAGATGAAAACTTCCTGTGTTTACATTTATCTATTCAAGAATAGAGTTTACATGAGCCTACACATGAATGTTAACAATGGATGCTGTGTATTGTAGGAAATCATATTGTTGCCATTAAGATTTCCTTTGAAAAGAAAAATAAAGCTTGTCAGTATCACGCCACTTATTTCAGTCACACATAGCTGCTCCACGGTGGAAATGATGCTATAGGCCTGAGCTAAATCTATCTCTGTCGTGAAGTGGATACATTTAAGATGGTAAAATGGAAACAAAATGACAGCTTAACACCTTGTACCTGTTTATCTCCCAGTAGAGTTAAAGCTCTGCAGTGCAATATATACTGTATATATGTGTGTTAGTGTGTGTCCGGGCCGTCTTCCATTTCACAACATGAAAAGTGATGAAACTGAAAGACAGACTGGGTAGTGTGACTAACAAGCTTGCTGTTCATCTGTTAGTCATCAAAAGGAGTTAATGCAGCCAGCTAATGTACAGTGGAGGCCCATTGAGACTCCACTGACAGACTTCACAATGAGATTACAAGATTACAGTCAGTGTGGACATGTGTTCCCTGTGCTTAATTTGATTAAAACTCCCACTTAACTGCTCACCTACTGTATGCAGATCAATCTAGAGATTTACATGATACCACTGCATTCTGCCTCAAAGCTAAGATTTATTTAAGTTTCTGTAATTTATTAGTGTGTAACAAAATTAAATCAAATTGTATTTTCTCTGCAAGGAAGGTTCGACTAATCACACGTTATCTAGAAATATAAATCAAAGCTGTAGCTACAGTCCCATAATTACTCTACCCTACCTACAAGTGAGTAAAAATAGACCAGAATGATACTCCACATGTCAATAAAAGGAAACCACAGACTTGAAGGTGGCGGGGGGTCACCTTTTGGAAAGACCTTTCTTTCTTTCAGAGATGCAAAGATTAGGCCACCTTCACTGCCAATTAATCTGAAGTTATGTAACGCAATAATCTAACAAGACTAAGAGCCAAATTACCGGCTGTCTGAGGCTGTTCTGTGAGGCTGGGACTGCTAGTGTAAGCAGGCTCTCGTGCTCACAGTGACAACATGCTGATGTTTAGCAGGTCAAATGTTTACCACCCCATCTTAGTTTAGCGTGTTAGCATGTTAACACTTGCTAATTGGTGCTAAACTAAAAAAAATACAACTGAGGCAAAGGGCCGATGTCCTTTGCAGGTATTTGGTCATAATTCAAACAAGTAAGATTTTAAGATGATGATGGCGCTGAATAAGGCATTAGTGTGGCTAAAAATAGAAACACCTAGAATACATGAAACTGAAATAGCTCTCACTGTGGATGCTGGAACCTTTCCTGTGCAGCATATAAACAAACAGCAACAAGCAATAGGTTTAAATGTACATGAAATGTGTTTTATAAAATATAAATTTATAGATTTCTTACTCACTGTATTAAATCGACTCTGATAACTAATATTGTTGTCTAGTGTCTACTTGTAGTTGTAATTGTTGTTGTCACCAGTAATTTTCACTGATACAAACTTCTCAGACACTTTTATTTGAATACATTATGGATATATTATCAATTCACAATTACAAGAATTTTTTTTTTGTCCAACAGTCTTGAAATCCCTTAAATTTTTATTGCGACCCATTGTGGGGGCCTTAACCCCCAGGTTGGGAACCCCTAGTATTAAAGAGTTATTTTTGGTCTCACCCGTCCTTCAACTTGCCTCGTCTATTTCTGCTCAGTTAAGTCATTTGCCACATTTCCCTGAAGACTTTAACATCCCTGAGAGGACTGTCATGAACTTGTTTCATTCAGCTGGTTTATACTGTACAAAGTGGGGTGGAGAGGGAACTAGTGACAGAGATAGCTGAGCAGGTGCAAACAGTGGGATTTTCCAGTGCAGCAAAAACAGTCTTGTGCAAAACTGAAAGCCCAATATTGTGGCTGCATTTAATTCTGGACTGCTTTCAGGGGAGATGCTGGTAGTTCTTTAATTGTTGATTTGTTGACGTAGATGTGCTGAAATTGCTTATTTTTATGTGGGCATAAGAAAAACACCACAAGACAAGATACACAAATACAGAACAACACTGCTTGAAAAAGCTCAGCGTGTCTACACGCTATAATACAATGACTATAGCTGATCAGCAGTAATTTTGCCAGACCCTATAGAGAGGATCAGTAGCTTATGTGGATTAGAGGCCTTTTTACAAATTGACTGGTATACTCCATTTTACCATTGATGTTAGGGAATATCTTTAGCACACACACAAACACAGACATGCAAAGTGATGTCACGACTGGGCAGGGCCTGTGGGTGCAGCAGGTTAGTCTGCTATACAGGGATTACAGTGGAAAGAACCCTCTCTTCCTCAACCTCTCTCCTCCTACCACTTAATAATACAGAAGATAAATTTCAAAGAAAATGGGAGGAATCTGCTGATGCAGGTGAGTGTAAAAGGCTATGGATGTTTAGAGAATTGATTAGGTGTTTCGAGATGTGGTAGCATGGAGAGACAGCCTTTTAAAGGCACTAATCCCTCTTACTGGAGAAACCGTGTAAGCTTATTTACTGCTTGAACAACATGGCTGAACACAGACAGTAGGCTATTAATCTAATAGATTTCAACCATACAGCAGGCTCTGTTTGTCAGAGAAAATAGCACTGAAGTTGATTTGGCTCATTCTGTCAATACACCAGTGATCACAGTGTTAATATAGGCTACTGTAATTTTAGAAGAAATTATTCAATTATTTAGCCTCAAACTTGTATTTAGCAGAACTGGCAGGGATAAGTACAGAAACATATTGGCTACATACATGTAAAAAGTGAGGCTATGGTTTAGTATAAATATATAAACAAGAAAGTAAATTAATACCTAAATAATGAATAATTTCTGTTTTGTAAATACAGGCCTAACAAATGTCAAATGTTTTATATTTGTTTATTATTTTTAAATGTAGCTGGGACAAAATGTTAACTATTTGTGAACATATGTAAATCAACAAGAAACTACATGATGTAATCTTAAATTTAAATTTAGCGCTGAACCCGCCCAACCACCTCTTTACACGTGTTGATGAACAGAATACACACAGCTGTTTTGTTGGCACGCTCCGGTGAACTCGTAGCTTAAAATACACGGAGGGCGTTGACTATTTAATCAAACAGTGTTAAGAGGGGTTGTTCCTCTGTAATGGTGAAGAACCACACAGGGTCAAAGGTGAAGACAGCGAGAGGTGAAATTCCTGGAGGGAGGCTGACTGTGCGTCCTTAATTAACCACCAAACGGTGTCGGTTACCAGTTTGAAGTTGCTCCGTATTTTTCAGGAAAACACAGCAAAGGTTCAAACGTTGACACTGGATATACATCAGGTTTCAGGGACAGGTTTCGTTGTTTGTGGAAATAGTTCGGTTTTGGATTTGGACGGTCATATTGGACGTTTGAGGAAGAGGCTTTTCAGGTAACCGTTGACACAATAACGTTATTTATTTACCTAATCAGTTTGACGTGTCAGAGGCTTGGAGCGTGAATAAATGTAAAAAGTAACCTCCTCTATATTGAAGATAAATTTAATACCGATACTAAAAACAAAGATGAGCATCAGTGTTGAGTAGATTTAGTGTGAACTGGAAGGATTCGTTATAATTCAGTTAGTTGGTGGACAGAAAAATAAACAACAACAATGTTGATAAACGTAAAAGTGATTTTTGTTCTTTTTTTTTTTTTTTTTTTTTTTAAAGAAAACAGCCAGCACATTCTGGACATTCACATATGCAAATGTGAATATGCTGTTTTTCTTGATCTTCTAGTAACCCGAAAATATTTGGATTTGAACTGTTTGCTGGAAGAAACAAACTCCTTGGTCTCAGGAACATTCTGCTGGGCATTTTGCCCTATTTTCTAACATTTTATAGTCCAACTGTTCATCAAGAAAACGAACTGCAGATGAATTGATAATGGTTAGTTGGAGCCCTACAGCCTTCAAATGGCATTCTTGAAATATTTTAGAGCAGCTGTAAGACATTTCACACTGACACCAACAGGCAGGCAACAGTGAAACCATGTCACTGCCTGTGTGGTGTTTCTGCAACAATGCCAACTCTCCTGGACATCAGTTTTTCTTTTTTTGAATCACTCTTAAACTCTAATTCATCCTCAGCACTGCTCCACTTATGATAGTTTATTTCTGATTACTATTTTTCATAATTGATTCTTTATTAATGTATATTGTCTGCTATGTAGCAGAAGGGAGTTCAATATTACTCTGTAACTTGTTATACTGTGACAATAAACCTACCTACCTACTTTAATAACTGAAATATTTCTTATCTCTCAGGAGGTTTACCTGACTTCGGACAGCATCAGATCTGGAGAGACTTTTGAGCATCCCTTGAGATGGATGAGCAGGTTAATCCGTTGGAGAGAGACCACTCTTTGTCCGTGATTCTGCCAGGGGGGCTGGAGAAGAAAGCCACAGTGCATGGAAGGTAGGCCATATCGCAAGCTGTTCTTCTAAGGTGTGGACAGATTTTGTGTAATTTTCAAAGCTACATTTACATGACAAAAGACAGTATGGCCTCTTAATTCTTGTTTTTTTCCCCCTGGACCTGTCTTTGTCCCATGCTAGTTTAGACTGCATTGTGGGAAATGTAGGATCCAATGTTTTTTGGCACTTCAGCCATCTTAGGGCCTAAAATCGTGTGTGTGTGTGTGTGTGTGGATATATTTAGATTGTTTTAGCGGCAATGTTGGTGTGTTCCCTCTTTGGAAAGTTCTAGTTTTAAAGATGAATTTGCACCTGCATGCTATAATTCAAGAACCCTTGTGAATGTCCTAACATTGCAAGATCATTGGATGATAGGAAGATATAGGTTATTTACGGTAATTTGTTTTCTTTGATTTTTTTCCCCCATCTGAATAGTAAACCAGTGATGGACTTACTTGTGATCCTTTGTGCAAATTATCATCTGAATCCGTCAGACTACACTGTTGAGGTCCTTTCCCCTAACAAGAACAACATCAGCTTCAAACCAAACTCTCCTATTGGCTCACTAGAAGCGGAGACAATTGTGCTGAAACCTAAAGGAATGGAGGAAAAGATCAGGAGGCCGTACATGCCAGAGGTAAAAAAAGAAATTCAACATCCTTTCACCGAACAGTTTATACTTTACTATACTATTAGCTGTCGCCAAGTATACAGAGGAAGCACTATTTAAGCCGTAACTAATGGGAAATAAACATTTATCTTGGTGTATTTTAAATAGACTTTCTTTCCATAGTTGCATTAAAGTAAAAAATGTAATTTCTCTTTGCAGCCATCTGTGCGTTTGTTGATCAACTACAATAAGTCCCATAAGGCCGTGGTGAGAGTGAATCCCAGCGTGCCCCTTGAGATGCTGCTGCCAGTGGTGTGTGACAAGTGCGAGTTTAAAGTAGAGACAACCATCTTACTAAGAGACCCTCAGTCTAAAGAGCTGCTGGACCTGACCAAGACCTTAAATGAGCACGGACTGAGGGAAGTGTTTGCGAAAGACACAGCTGCTCAGGAGAGTATTGACCATCAACAGCAACCCAAGACACCCGAAGCAGGTATGTTTGACAGCAAATAGTTTTGTCCATTTGCATGTGTTTGTCTCTACCTCATAGCCTCCTCCCTGTATGAACTGTGGGATATGTATTAAAAACATATTAATCACCGGTAACGATCAGCAAAATGGACAATCATCAGGATTATTACTTTAAAGAGACCTCTGGGATCTTTTCTGCCTACATTGTTGCTAACAGCACTTACTCAAATTGACACCCCAAGCTTTGCAGTGTCAGTTTTTTGTTGCTCTGACAAAACCATGCGGTCAGCAAAGCCTAACTGAAAGACTGTTTTGAAGACATTTCATATTATGTCCTACTGTACAGTCAGACCTGATATTGGCATTGTGTTTTTTGCCTGGAACAGCTGTCACGCCAACAGAGGTCATCTCACCACCTCCACTACAAGGTAACACTCACACACATTCATGCACAGTCTCAGTGATATATGCCACACACCGTATTCTGCTATAATTTACTGATCTTTTACATTATATAGGCCTGTCAAAGAAGAAGACACAGAAGGAGAACAGGGGTTTTCTCAGCTTATTCAGAAGAAGCAAGAAAAAACCTGAAATGGTACAGTATGAGTATCAGTATTGTCAGCGTGCTGGATGATATTCTTAAAACCTTCTCGGCTTGTGACCAAAATGTATTGTTCATTTCGCTCTTTTTAGGAAGGGGCAGCGAGTGCCCCAGTGTCTCCTGGCCTCAAAAAGCAAATGAGAGTTGGTATGAATTCGCAGGGTGTTTCCTCCTCTAACACCCTGCCAGCAGATATGCCTAAAAAGAGACGCGCCCCTCAGCCGCCCATGGGTGCATCGCAGAGCTTCCCCAACCACCTCGGCACCTGTCATCTAAGAGGACCACAGGTGGGGAGGAAACTCTTTTCTTCTTCTTCCTCTTCTTCCTCTTCTTCTTCTGCCTTTTTCTACTTCCACCAAAGCAAGGAGGTTTGTGTATTTGGCGGTCTGTTAGTTAGCAGAATATCTCAAACTGCTACTAATTAAACTGATGACCAAACATTAACACCTAATTTTTGGTTTGAATACCTCTTGTCTATCAGTGTCTATTAAACAATATAGCAACATTAATGTCACTGTCACTCTATAGGGGTCTTCAGAAATGAGGAGTACCAAGAGGAGGGCCCCACCCCCTCCCCGTGCAAACACCCTGCAGACAGACACAGAGGTTAAAGGTAAAACCTTCATTGATTATGGATGACCTTTGAGCTTTGGGATGGAGCTTGTTCTTAGACAACTGTGCTGAACACATTTTAATGATAATGATTGACAGCGTAGCCTGCCAACACTATTTAGGGTATAAATCAGGGTCTGTACCATTACATTATAGTCAAATTCAGAGTATAATATTGACTGTCCATATGTGGCCTGCAACGGCAAAAGATATGAAATATCCTTGTAGAACAATCCCAATTGACCTTTTTACTGTATTTCAGTGGAAATCAAATGGGTTTAGAGTGCGTTGATTTCTTGCATCTGCCAAATCCTTACGGTTTCAGTCGGTGCCACACAAGGTCAAGAGAGATTGAAGAAAAATCAAGATTAAAATGTCAAAGCGAAAACCATCAAATAGAAGATTTAGCAGTTAAATCCAGCGCAAAACACAGCTTTTATCAGTCCGAACCATTTAACCCTGTTCAGGGCAATTAAAGTGACCCAGGGAGCCTTGTTCATAGAACGTATTGGCTTCAGTCTGTTCCAAGATAAATCCCTCTATTGTCCGAGCTTTCATTCCCCTGTATTAGTCTGTCTGATATGCTTTCCCCGCCTGGGTTCAGGTTCTCTCGGTTCATGGCTCTTTTCTACTCATATGCTTTCACAGACTTGAATGGACAATGATCATTCTGTTATAACGTATAGGTTATTAGGGATCTGTAATTATGTGAGAAACACTTCATTGTGCGCTTAAAGAAAAAGTGCTCTAAGATTTTTGCGTTCTAATTATGTGACTAAATTGCCTTAAGCAGTGTCCGTGTCTTGGTTCACTCCCTTGTTTTCTTTTATCAGTGATAGTGCAACACACTGCTGAGTTGGTATCCACACTAGGCTGAACAAACAACTCCCAGCCATGAGTTGATGATCACATTCTTGCTCCTGTCCTCCTACGCTTAAATAATCATGGTCTGTGAAAGCTCAAAATCGCATTTTCACATCGGACGTAAGGCATTTCTTTTATCGTTAAGAGACTTCACTGTAAATGTCTGTGTCGTGTTGGTTTTGTGTTGGAAAACTTCAGACTGATGATCGCTGCCCTAAAGCCAAGCTTTCTCTCCTCCCTGCTTACAGACTCTGTTACCTGAACGGGGTGATTGAGGGCTGCTGCAGCTGCTGCTGTCTCCTTTTCCTCTCCTCCTTCCACCATCCTTATTCCTCCTCTCCGTCCTCTTCCTGCGTTGGCCTCTTCTTCCTTCTTCCCATCTTAGTGGCTTTTATGGATGTGTGTCACTGTTGCCTGCTGCACTTAAATGCTATTTATTTGTCCGTTTTTTTTTTATTCTGTCGGCTTATTGTGCGTTTTCTGTTTGGGTTTTTTTGTGAAAATTCTGTATAAGTTTATGTCCTTTTGTGGTATTTTCCTTTCAGTGGATTAGACTTAGTAGTAAGTAATTGTGCCTTTTAAATTCAAAAGAGAAGCCAGATTATTATCATAGGCAATTATTATGTTTTCTGACCGTGAATTATTGTTAACTGCTTATTTTTTTCTCTACTATATATTTTACCTATTGTATATGAGTGTTTTTAATATATTTTATGTTTGACCTTCTGCTTCTGCTGATAAATTTTATTAACATTTTACAATTTTATATACATTTTCTTTTCATTATTGTTAATTCTCATTTTACAATAAAATTGGGAATAATTCATTTAACTTTAATACTTGATTTCATTTAAAAATGTGTTAATGTCTTTAAACATTTGACTAAAAGTAATTTAACATTCAAAGGGGGGGGAGATAATACCGAGTTTCCTGTGTATCTTTAATGACCAGCATACAGTTGCATTTTGTGTGTTTACTGTGCAGACTTTGTATTGTAAATATCGCAGTTTTTTACTGTGTGGTTTCTAAATGTTAAGACCCTTAACTTCCCTGTTTCTGCAGGGACTGTAGACTCCCTGAACACTGTGGAGGAGCTGAGAGAAAGTGACGAGTCAGACTCTGTAATCCTGTCACTATCCTCGTCTTCATCACCACATCCATCGCATCCACGGTCGTCGTCCTCCTCACGCCCATCATTTGCTTACCTCCATGAAGTGGCTGATCCATATCTGCCTTCGTTTCGAGGGAAAGACTTATCTGATGCCCGCTGTGCTCTCGCCAGAGTCCTGACCTCCTCTGTTTCCAAAGGGACACTGGCCAAGCATTTGAAGAATTCTGCCACCTTCCCGAAATTCTACAAAGGCTCCTCCTTCATGTCCATGACTCCGGTGTGTTCAGATAATGGGGTTTTCTGTGTGGAACTTGAAACACCCAAGCTTCCCTCTGAGCCTGAGTGGGAGGATCCCGTACAGAGGAAGAGAATGACCACGTTCAAAATAGTTCCCTCAAAAAAACAAAAGTCCCATGATCCAGAGCTCCCCCTGGATGTTTCAGATCAGATAACAGTAGAAGATAACCCTGAGAGTGGAGCGTCTCCTGAGGTCGGGAAAAATCTTACTGAGGCTGAGGAGGATCCATGTTCTCCTGACAGATCAGAGACTGAAACACCTTTGCAGAGTCCAAAACCTTCTCCTCCACCTTCTCTTGACTTAGACAGTCGGGATGGTCCAGCTTCTCCTCCACCTTCTCTTGACTTAGACAGTCGGGATGGTCCAGCTTCTCCTCCACCTCCTCTTGACTTAGACAGCCGGGATGGTCCAGCTTCTCCTCCACCTCCTCTTGACTTAGACAGCCGGGATGGTCCAGCTTCTCCTCCACCTTCTCTTGACTTAGACAGCCGGGATGGTCCAGCTTCTCCTCCACCTCCTCTTGACTTAGACAGCCGGGATGGTCCAGCTTCTCCTCCACCTCCTCTTGACTTAGACAGCCGGGATGGTCCAGCTTCTCCTCCACCTCCTCTTGACTTAGACAGCCGGGATGGTCCAGCTTCTCCTCCACCTCCTCTTGACTTAGACAGCCGGGATGGTCCAGCTTCTCCTCCACCTCCTCTTGACTTAGACAGCCGGGATGGTCCAGCTTCTCCTCCACCTCCTCTTGACTTAGACAGCCGGGATGGTCCAGCTTCTCCTCCACCTCCTCTTGACTTAGACAGCCGGGATGGTCCAGCTTCTCCTCCACCTCCGATGGATTTAGATAATCAGGATTGTCCAGGCTCACCTCTTTCTGAGGGTGTTGAGAAACAGAAGGAAGAGGAAGAACCTGAAGCCACATCTGAGGTGATACTAACGGCGCCGTCATACTGCAGCGATGGAGAACTTCCCAGTGATGGTCAAATCAACTCAGAGGATCGGAGTGAATGTCGTCAAAGCCCCGGTGGACAGTCTGTGAGGACAGACACAGACCACTGTAGTTCATACACTGCTGACAAGGAAGTTGAGGAGGAATGGGTACAAGAAGAAGTAGAGGATGGTTTCCCTCCTCCTCCTTCACCTGTCTTCTTTAATGAAGACATAGAAGTTCTGGAGGAGGGAAGAAAAGATACCACTGCTTCCTCTCAGCCGCAAAGTCCTACATCTAATGGACAAACTATTGTATTCAGTGAGGACCATCAAAATGACCAGTCAGCAGCTGGACAAAAACCTCTGGACAAGATGTGTGCAGCCCCATCCAGATTTGCACAAGCAGTAGCGTTGGCCGTGCAGAGATCCCACCTCCAGAGACATGGGAAAGGTTTAGGCCCTCAGGCCCCCAGTGGTCCACACAGTACACTTCCCTCACCACCAAGGTCCACATACCAGTATGGTGAGTACCACTGACAGTTGTTTTTTCATCATATCTCTAAGTTTACTGCCATAGCTTTAATGTAATACAAATACATAGTGGTCCACTAAGCCTCTAGTTTTCTAAAAGTGATGGGTCCTACACAAACACACACATTTCTGCCAAAGTTAAAATAGTTGTGGGTATTTTATGTGAGAGATTTCTGCAGTTTTGCCTGTGATCTTATTACTGGGTTGAACTGTGTGGGGCTCTGTCGGACGAAAAGGGCTTTGCGTATTTCCGTGCACCCATCAGAGTTTAGCAAAATTTAAATGAAAATGTGATGATAATTGTGGTGTTTTACTTCTCTTGCCAGCAACGTCAGTCAAATCCAGTCAAACCACACCCACACATGCCAGATGAAGCAGATTAAACTAAATGAATAATTCCTAAGGATGTTTTGTTTTTCTCAACTTCAACTTTGGGTTAAACTTGCTTCATCTAAATATGATATGTTAAGGAGAGATGCTTAAAATCTGACACATTTTCAAGGGCTTTAAGACTCCCTCTTTCTCTAATTCTCTACTCTTTTTAAAGATTATTCTGAGATGGAGAGGATTGCATTATGGGATTTTCAGCTGAAAGTTGTATACATGCTATGAACAGTACTGTTTTTGTTCCATTGTGGGGATTTTTGAGGGCACTATAAAGAGCATAAATTTCACACTCAAATAAGATGGAGAACCGTAAATATTGTGCATTATATAAAAAATAGGAAGTGATTTGGGACACAGTGAGTTTGGTTTCAGGTCATCAAAAAATAGTTAGTATGTACACAGTACATCAAATATTCTTGAGAGGTACATTTAATTAGAAATTTTGCAGATGAAGCAAACCAAAATAAATTACAAATCATTATTTTAATCAGAAATATTGATATATTAGAGGACCTTTCTTGTAATGCTCAAAGTTGAGGTGAAACGTATGGCCTCAGTAGACTTGTTAATAATGTTGAAACCGTCGCTGAATATAACGCATCTTAAGCATTATACAGTCTTGATATATAAAAAGGACAAGTATCTCATTGTGATATTGCTTTATTAACTTGCTGAGGTTTACTATAGCCAAGGAATAACTTTGTTGCACGTTTCCATTCGTAGTGAAACTGCTGATAGACTTTTCATCAACTCCAAAAGACAAGTCCTCATTACTCACGTCCTTGCCTCTCTCTGGTCGCCTGTATGTGTTAAGTTTGGCTCGTATTGCTGACTTTTAAAGCTCTGCAGGTTCAGGCCTCAAACCTACTTGTCCCTTATGAGCCTGGACATAACACTAGTTTTTCATTAGTCCACTATTGTGGGGCTGAACAATAAATCAAAATCACAATATGGCCTACTGCATTTTCTCAAATTACAGGAGTTGCAATATTTGTTAACGGCAAAATGTGTGCCAAAATATCCTTTTTAAATGAAATATTATTGTGCTACAGCGATGTCCTGGCCTACATGTCATATTCTACAGACATCTTTGTTTGGTACAAATCCCACCATAATCATTTAAATATGTTTTTAATAATAATAATTATGTAAAAATTATCATTCCTTCCTATATCGCAATTGCAATATCAGGGTATTTTTGTTTCTTTCTTTTTTTTTATTGTTCAACCCTACCATATTGCTATATAAATGCACTGTGTAGCCCTGCTTTCTTTTACTGTAGTAACCATATACACTGTTTGTTAAGCACTATGTAACTCTGATTTGAAAGTTGTAACAAAAATAAAGTTGTTATTAGTAACGCATAGAAAAATAGGGAATAGAAACAAATCTTTAGGCTGACACAGAAACAAACCGACATGGTGACACTGAATGCATTATGACAAGTTTATTTCTGGAGATCTGATGCCTGGCTGTCCATGGCTGTGTCGGCGCTCGCCTGAGGCCCTTTTAATTCCTTCCTATAGAGGAAAGATGTGACGTAAATATTGAATCTCTTCTCTGCTGCAGGTGCCTGACTAGCTTCCTGACACACCTTCGAATGGAAGTCCTTGTTTAGGTTGAGGAATCGGAGCTGACCGAGGACACCTTACTCAGTATGCGACCTTAACCAAAAAGGTCAGCTGAATAATTTCTAAGCTGACGAACTGCGGCAGTTTTATGATGAGAAAAAAAGGACTTTGCTTCTATGGTCATCTTTATTTCTTGTTTCTCTTATTTTTGTGCAAGACACCTTGTTGTCTCATTTTATGTTTTAACTTTATGTTCACAGGTTAAAGAAACAATTTTCTGTTGTCAAGTAAGCCAAATGTACAGGATGTGAATTGTTGAACTGACAATGTCCTGTGTTTGTTTTTGTTTTTTGTTACTTCCTTTTGAATTTTTCATTGAAAATGTGCCAAGGTGGACAGAACGCTGATGTGAAAGCTTTTTTTGTTTGTGTAAAACAAAAGAAATGACAGTAATAGGCTTATCCTATGTTTGTGCTGAAATGTAATGTCTCCCTTAGGGTGTACATTTTTTCTGCTTTAACACATGAAGAATGCAGTAAATCTCATGAACTTGGTTTCAGACTGGTTTTGCTTTTTAGTCACCAGGTGGCAGAAGAGCATTGTTTCTAAAATGAATATCCTGACATTATCCATTTGTGAGGTCTTCATCATCATATGAGTTGTGGGTGGCTGTATCACAAGTGACAAATTCTGTATAATTTTAAGTAAATAACAGTTAATACTGTTTCCTAATTATGCAGGAGCCATGAATGAAAACATTATTCAAACATTCAATTATCCATAAATGTCTTAGGATTTTTCTGAATGCTGTGTCTGTGTAAGTATCCATTTCAAGGACATTGTCTGAAACAGAAAGTACATGCAATATTTAATGGGGACATGATAATTTACTGCATTTCCAGCAGCAACAACAACAAAAAAACCTATCCTTGTTGGAAGCATCGGTTTCATGCCAAGCATCTCAACACCTTCCTGAATAAACTCAGTCCACTTTGCTCACATGCACACACTGTTATGTCTTTAACGGACCTATACCTCAGGGCAATACTGCATAGCTATACTTGGGTGCCAAAAGAATCCACACTACTATATGTATTGATCCAGCCCTGGCCTTGGAGGAACAGCAAGGAGCTATGCGAGGTAGAGACCTAGCCAGAACCGCCTTTGGCTAAAGCTCCACGTTTGCCAGGCCTGGACTGAGTGGGCTCGCTTCAAGACTTCCTTTCTTTCTCTCTAGCATTCCTTGCTCCACCTGAGGAGAGAGAGCGAGAGAGAGAGAGAGAGAGGAGGACGGGATGCTGGTGGATGATGGGAGGTGACCGTTGACCCTGTCGTGTTTCCACGGCGCTCCCCCCAGAGGGGGCGCCCGGCCCTCAAGGGCACAGCCGTGTCACACTGCCGTTGTCATGGAGAATGCCATTACCGCCCCTAAGGGAGAGAGCCACGTCGAATGTTAAAAAAAAAGAAAGAAAGAAAGTCAGTCGAAAAAGAAACACACACTCACGTAGGAGAGGAGCTCTTTTATTGCCCAAAGCAATGATATCCAATGTTAGTGACAACTCTGGCATTATCCTTTTTTTAGCAGTAAAAGGTTGAATTTCAACCTGAGCAGCAATGTTCATGATTATGCAGACAACAGAAAGCTGGATTTATAATGCAGCATAACGTGAAATGCTATTCTGTCATGTACATTTATGATCTGACACGTGACATAAGATGCTATCAGCGCAGATGAACCTTTGAATAAAAGCAGACGGGCACAGACACAAAGAGGTTTTGTTGATTTTTGTCTCGGGAGATGAGGTGGATAGAGACGTGAACAAACAGGGTATTCTGAATCCTGGAGGACGCTTCAGTCACATGAGCACATCCTGGTTCAAACTAATTAATGAGGAGGCCGTGGTATGAATGCAAGATCACTCGGTGGATCACTCCTGTTGAAACCTGCACACCTGAACAAACATGGATTGTTTGACCACAACTACCCATACTTTTAACAAGCTTACATGGTGTGTTTCTACATGTGTGGAACATAGATGAACAAACAGGTACAGAAAGACAGTATAGCCATGCATGAACATATAGTATGTCTTCACACCTTTTAGTTTGTATTAATTTGACCAACCCCACCCACGGCATGGAAACATTTTATAATCACCTTATCCCACCCACACTACTGACACTCCACTCTATAACCTCAAAATGAAATGGCATAAATAATAATATAAAGGCATTACAGAAAAAATTAGAAATACACAATAAACATAATGACAACAGTAAAAACATTGTTATAGATTCATAAAAGTACCATTAGAGAGTTCTGAAGTCCTTCCATTTCATAGTAAGGATGCATACTTATATATAAAAATTATTATTTTGTAACAAAACTAAAAAGAGGGGGAAACAAGAACGTCTATTGTTTGATTTCACCTCACCAACTGCCCAAACATTGATATATATTCCCATATATAGTCCCATGCATTTTCCCTCAGCAGTCCAGCCAGCTAAAAAGATACATTGTTCTTAACCCCAAAAGTCATAAATCATAAGTTAACTGTAATAATTTGGACCAGCAAGGTATTTCTCCATCAGGTAAATTACATGGTGTGGAAGATACCTGTTGTGTGAAAACTATGCTAACGGACAAAGACGACATCAGGTTTCTTAAGTCTATGAGTGAAATCCAAATGTATGTAAGCACTTGAAATGTATCAGTCTTTGATCAGGATGTTTTAGATCAGTATAGCCTACTCCAACAGTAAAAGGCCTACACACTGATTTTAACCAAGAGCTGACTTTGACTGTGGCTTGGATGAAACTACAATTCATGTTTCAGATAGACGTATAAAATTTGTCTGTTGCATGAAGCTGTTGTAAGCAGTGTAACTACCATATGTGCAGGGAATGCAGTTGCATAGGGGCCCAGAGAAGCTGCGGGGCATAAATTACCTTTCATGTTACTATAATTTTAAAATCAGTAGCAGTAACCATTTCTACATACTGATATAGTACCATGCAAATAAATTTAACAATGGTCGCAGTTAAGTATTTATAATAGTCAGTGAGTCAGGCCTCTTTCTCTCTCTTACACTTGTCATTCATATTCAGTAACAATACAATAACATTAAATACTTTTACACACAAACACTCCATTGCCACATAAATCTGAAGTAGGTACGTCTAGATTAAGTTTACGTGAATAAGGATGAATTCATGGGATTTTATGTCAAAGATGTTCATTCTGTGGGCCCGCACAGAATTCTGGGTAATTTTAATAGCAAAATCCGCACAGAAGAGTAGCTAGCTAGTGAAGTGACAGCAAGAGGGAAATTAACTCGATATAGAGTACAAACACAAAAGTCGGGTTCAGCAGCAGCTGAGCAAGAAAAAGCAAAGCCACTAAAAAAAAGAAAGACGGGACAGCAGCAAACTGGAGTTGTGAGCAAGAGGAGCCGAAGGGGACACCTGCTGCTAGCTACAGCATCGCGCCATCCACCGTGAGGACGAGTAACGTTACTGCCCCCCGACACTTTCAGGCCCAATCCCAATGTCCCCCCTAAGCCCTAAACCCTGAACCCTCACAGACTTTACTGACATCACTTGGGCCCAATCCCCAATGTCCCCCCTCACAGACTCACAGACTTTGAGGCGCGTTCCCGGGAAGTCCGTGAGGGCTCAGGGCTGTCCCACTGTCAAATCGTCAAGTGCACGAGGGCTCTCTCGCAGACATTTTGAGCCCTTTATAGACCCTTTTCGTAAGTCCGCATTTCTGCAGACTTTGGCTGAGGGAATTGCCCACAGTTCATGACCATGGGTATGACATGAAACACAGGGGTTACCAGGGGAAGCCCGGAAGCAACAGAAGTATCAAGGCTAATCCGCGTTATAAGAGAAGAAGAAAACAGTAAACAAACAAGAATCGACACCTACGCTGATGTTAAAATTGTTGAAAGTTTTCTTAACTTAAGATGCTTCATAGAACACATGAAGTCAGAGGAATGCAATCACCTTATCACACACTTAGTTTATTCAACAATTTATTTTAGTTTTTGCTTAACGATGCTATTTGACCAACAATAATGTATTGATTAATTACAGATATATATTGACTACCTCTATATAGGCTACCTCTCCTCCACTCTGTAGGGCAAGAGCCTGCAGGACTTAAAAATAAGGCAAAAACATAAAATAAAAAGGGTGCAACGTGTTTCAGCATTGTCAAGGTAACGTGATAAAGTGGCACAGTGCTGTCCCGTTCCTGTTTACAGCATTTTGAGCCCTTGTAGCCTCTTAAACTCAATCACTTTCCAAGGCCCAATCCCAATGTCCCCCTAAGCCCTAAGCCATGAACCCTCACAGACTTTACTGACATCACTTGGGCCCAATCCCAATGTCCCCCCTCACAGACTCACAGACTTTGAGGCGCGTTCCCGGGAAGTCCGTGAGGGCTCAGGGCTGTCCCACTGTCAAATCGTCAAGTGCGCGAGGGCTCTCTCGCAGACATTTTCGCTGATGTTAAAATTGTTGAAAGTTTTCTTAACTTAAGATGCTGCATAGAACACATGAAGTCAGAGGAATGCAATCACCTTATTACACACTTAGTTTTTCACTTTCCAAGTGGCCTTGCGATATTAAACTCTACTGAAATGACATAACCTCGACATTTCCCACGCAACTCCTGTCAGTCCGCATCTGAAGAGTGAAAACAGCACTAGAACTAAGCAAGATGTTGTTTGTGGACAACAACTGCATCGCTGCAAGCTTTGGGGTAAGTTGACGTTAGTCTGCACCGTTTTACTGCTTTTCATAAAAATCCCAGTGACTGTGGCCTCTGCAGAACGATCTTTTCCCAAACTCACACTTATAAAATCTTACCTGAAGAGCTCACTGGGGCAGACTAATCTGGACACACTGTCACACACTGAGAATGCTCTGAGCTGCAGCTGGATTCAAAGGGTTTAATAAACAACTTTGCAAAAAGCTCAGGAAAAAGTGCGCCTAAAATGTAAGTAAAACTTGTTTATTTGACTAGTAATCAATCCACACATGTGTGTTATGTGTTTATAATGCCTAGGAACAGACAGGAAACATTTTTGTCATTGATCATCATCTTTTTCCATATATGTGTCATAATGTCATTAATAGGATAATATTTTCATATGTTTTGAAAGTGCGCTGTTACTGGTACTGTTTTCACGTGTTTTGAAGGTGCGCTGTTGCCACCTTATGTTTAAATCTCTTATGGTGCTCTAACACCGATTTGGTCAAGTAGTGTAGCCTATCACTGTCAAGCCTTGCTATTATAACTCATATTCTTTGCAGAACGCTGCAGTGCATTTCTCTGTGGCTGGTCGTTTTAAAGCTGCAAGCTTTCACCTCTTTAACTTGCTACTGACATTATGGATTGTGATGGGAGGGCCCGTTATGACCATCTTGCATCGGGGCCCCGCGCCAACTCGTTACACCCCTGTTCTTGACTATCTTAATTACGTCTAATTTGCCATGAATTCTGGGTAAATTGAGAGTTGCTGTTGTTTTTTTTTAAACTAAAAAACATGGTTGACTGAGCAACCGTGTCAAACTGCTCAGCTCTGTTCACTCCAGCAGAAAATGTTTGCCTTCTGGAAGAATTCAACAGGTACAAGGACACTGTGTAACAATGTTGTGACAGGGCACGCTAACTCATCAGGAAGGTGTTTTCGGGCAAAAAAAAGAAAATATGACTGACGATGTTCTCACTGCTTTCCAACAGGTTACTGCGGTTTATTGTCATTTGGTGGTACTGGTCAGGTGTCACACTGATTGTTAGCTTGGACACACCGGCCCTGGAGGTAGTGGCTTTTGTGCTAGCTCTATTTTCGTGAAAGAGTCTAATTTGGATTAGACTAAACTAAGAGCCTGACACTACAGCCTAGTCTAAAAAATCATCTGTAAAATAACTCTTGCATCGAGCAGCTCATGGAGACATTCAGAGGAAGTTGCGTACCCCGCCAAA